GACAAGGGTGTGGCCCAGGCATCAGTATTTTGTAAAAATTCCCCAGGTGATTCTGTGATGTCCTAAGGTTAATGATGACTGGAGGAAGAAGAAGTAACAGCTATTATTATGAGGCGGATTATGATAATGGGGCCTTTTTTTTTTTTATTTCCTTTGGACTAAAAGTTCTCTGAACTCCTTCCTCTGAAAGTTGTATTGAAATCCCACAGACCAACTTACCTGGGAGAAATAGGCCTACTGTGACCCTCTCTGTCATAAATAAATTGATATCTCATTCTTTTATTTGTAATTTTCATGAAAAGAAGGATTTAAAATAATTGGAGCCTAGTGCCCAAAATTATATCCTTGTGCCTTCCCTGCAGTTTGTGGTTTAGTGACTGGGCAGGAGTGACAAGAATTCTTTGCACCACAGAATATTCTTTCCCTGTAAATGATGCATTGGCTTCAGGGTGAAGTCTGATTAGAAATGAAAGTGAAATAATGCTGTAAACCACAGCATTCTGAACTGCAGAGCTGAGAGTGAGTTGAGCTTAGAGGCCACAGTGCATGGTCTGAGCCCAAGCCTGAAGGACAGATTGAATAGGACTGAGAGAAGTCCTTGTACTAACCACTCAGAATGGGAACATGTAGTAGCAGAATTTCCCCGGAACCAGCCACACTGCAGTAAGCCAGTTAAAAACAATTAAAATTTCATTTTAATTTTGGAAAGGCTTGGCCTGTTGCCCTAGTTCATGAAGGTCTTTTAAAGAAGTTATTGTAGAGCAATTCGCACATAGAAAGTAGTTCTAATACTATATTTTAGTTACTGTTAGTTGCATTCAGAATGATGATTTACATTGAAGCCAACAATGAGTCAGATGTTATACAAGCATTGAATTAGGTATATTCCTTGTCCAGTGTTGGGACTATCTGAAAATAAAAGAAAGAAAAAAAGAGTATGTAAATTTAGCTTAATAGCACATAAGTGCTATGTGAATAATTGTAAATAATTGGATTATTACTAAAGAATTGGGAGTGTGGACAGATTTCTTTCTCTGGTTGGAGTATTGAACTAAAAAACAGCAAAATTTTGGCAAACTGAATGAAGTGCAGGACAAAAAGCATATGCCGCCAAATCGGAATGACATTTGAAAACCACGTTAACACACATTTCCAAGAGATTTTTATCTCCAAATATATTTTATCCACATTATACTTCTCTCCAATCAGAAATTTTTAGTAAAAATATGAGTCTCGAGTATATTTATGTTCACTTGCTAATCTTTATTTTTGTGGAGCGTGGGGTGCTGGGGATTGAACTCAGCAGCACTTGACCACTGAGTCACATCCTCAGTCCTACAGCCGCTGGGATTACAGGCATGTGCCACTGTGCGCGGCCACTAATTTTTACTGTCAAGCCAATTCTTCCTTTTTCTCTACAGACAAAATTACTTTGTCTGTAGTGAGAAGTATCTAACATGGAAGTAGGTGAAGTCCATAAATTCTATTCCATATACTCAAACTATTTGCCAAATACCCAAATAAACTTAACAAAGATAGGTCCCTATGAACTATGGAGACACTTTATGTATGTTGTCAATTGACAAGTGCCATACCTGTCCGATGCTTTTTTTATTGAAATAAGAACAGAAAAATCTTGAGGTTTCTTTCCTCCCCTTTTATGAAGATCTTCCAACAAGGAATCAAATCTGAAGTCATGAACCAGTGTGAGATAGGACCAAATTGAATTTTTCTTGGCATTTCACGGGGTGCCTGGATTTTGCTGGTGTCACAAACAGAACTCTATGTTGCATCTACCCTGAATTTTGGCAAATCTCGTATATAATTCCATAGAGTATTTTGGCAAAATGAGGAGGGAAAACAAATTCAAGAAGTGTTGAAGAACAAATTATAATAAATTTAAGTTCACTTTCCATTATGCTTTTTCAAAATAGATTGAAAATGGCATGCTAGCATGAATCTGTTTGATTAAAGCATTTGCACTTGTGTCAGTAAATTAGCGGGAAAGAAATAAATGAAGCTAAATTCTCTTCCTTGTTAGCTAACATAGGAAGTTGTAATTATTTTTTAAATAAAAGATTACACTGCTGTAATCTTTTTAATCTCACATACAAAGTTTGTAGAATCATAAAAAACTTGATGGCTGTTGCATGAACTAGACATTTTTCATTCTAAACAGACTTCATCATCAGTGTACACTGAACATTATGTATAATAATGAAAAATTATAAGCAAATTAAATGATACATAGTAAGAAAATTATTGAATAATTTATAACTTGATGGAAAATGAGAACAGTTAAATTGTTTTGCAATAGTATTTAATTACTTGGGAAATGTTGTTGGCACTGTTTAGTGCAAAAAAATAAATATTTAAAATTGTATATTTAGTAAAATATTTTGTGATTAAAAAATAAAGCATGAATTTATATATGATAATATAATCAATGTTATCAGGTGGTTCAATATGAACAATTACATTTCCTATTTATGTACTACTGTCTTTTCTGTCAGGCGATGGGGCTAGGTATGGCAAGATGATGTAGAGATTGGGAGAATGGGTCTAAGTTTGTTTTTTTGGAAAGGTAAGGCTGGTGATATTCATGTAGAATAAACACAGTTTTTTTTTCTTTTTTACCAGTTTGCATATCATTGTGCTTATGTACCCTTAAATTTTTTCTTTAAACTGAGTTAAAAGTGTCTTTAGGTCTAAGGATATATATAATTCAAAGTATGCTTGCCTAGCATGTGTGAGGCCCTGGTTTCTATCCCTAGCAGTGAAAAAATAAAGTATTTTAAAATTCATCATCATGCATACATATCTGTGAAATCACAAGTATGGCACATTTATAGCTCTTATTAATTAAAATTAAAACAAATAAATGACAATAAAATAAAATCCAAAGGGTGTTACATCCCATCAGTAATGCACACAGCACACTGGTAGATGCTGGCTTAGAGGAGGGGAGATGTGGATATGAGGACTCACGTTTTACCATCCTGCCTGTTTCCCAAGTGCTATCATAATTAGAGCTTGTTTCAGTGTACTTTCCTGGGGTGGAGTTTTGTGCTTGGAATTCCTCTGAAGGATGATCTTGCAGCATGGGCTTTGGGGAGGTGCTATTTCTGCAAAGCCAGTGACCAGAGGTTCACTCCAGACACTACTGTAAAGAAGAGTTGTCCTTAGTAAGTTACATGTCTGAATCCTATGAACTGTTTAAATAAAGAACAAAAGGAAGTAAGGAGGAATGGAAGGAAGGAAAGAAGGTAGGGAAGGAGAGAGGAAGGGAGGGAGGGAGGGGAAAAGAAGAACAACCCAGTGGTTTCACTAGCATGACAAGTGATTTTCACAAAACTGCAGAATTAGTGGTGAATAGCAATTTTGGGATCATTTAGGTCAACCTCAGTCTCATGGAACATTTTACAGTTTCAGAGATGACATGAGGAAGTGTTGGGAGGTAGAAAGGGCTTATGAGTCCTGCCCTAGCCCTGCCTCCTCTATCTGTCAAGGTCACTGCAGAACAGAAAGAAGTACAAGGGCCCTGGTTCTCTCACATGCTGGATTTCCTCCTCTGTGCTCACTATGCGCCTTAATCTTCCTTGTTTGTTGGTTGCTGAGTTCAGATCTACCTTCTCCCTATAGGGCAAACAAAAAATAAAAAGGAGAGGGCTGTGCTTGGAAATCCTCCTGTGCCTTTAGCTTTTTTTTTTTTTTCCTGTTTGCTTTAAAATGGTCCTTTAGCCTATCGTCCTTACTGTTCATATTAAATACCTGTTGTGTTATATATGAGTACATTTTTCTAAAAAAGAAAAAACAACTTTTGTTTAGTTGATTATTTTTATTGAAATAAGATGATCCCAATTCAAAAGAAACAACCATTTTTTTGTTCAAGAAATTCTCAGGAAGAAGGTTCCATGACTTGATTCATTGAAAGTTTTGAAATTCTTTGCTTTCTCCCACCCAAATAAAAACAGGCTATAAGCTCTTAGAAGGCGGGCATTTATTCTCTATCATTTAATTTCTTAACTGGTACACATAAATATAAAAATAGTCCCTAGTAATGTGGTAATGTGAAGCTTTAATACATCTACATATTGTATCATGTTTAAACCAGGTTAAACCTATCTATCTCCTCAAACACTTATCATTTCTTTTTGGTGAAAACTCTAAACATACCTTCTTCTAGTTTTTTATATGTATAGGTAACATTATACCTATCTGTAGTCAACTAACTGTGCAGTAGTACTCCAGAACTTCTTTCTCCCACCCAATTTGGTACGTATTGGTCAGTCTCTCGCCGCCATCCTCTCTCTTCCCTACTCCCCCGACCACCAGCTTTAGAAACTATCATTCCACTCTTAACTGCCAGGAGATCAGCCTTTTGCATTCTACATATATGAACTAGATCCTGGGGTACTCACTTCTGTTTCTGGCTTGGTTCATTTAACATGATGATCTCTACTTCAGGCCCATGATAGGATTTTATCTTTCTTCAAGGTTGAATAGTATTCCACAGTGTGTATGTACCACATATTCTTTATCCATTCATTAGTCAATGGACTCTCAGGTTGTTTCCATTTCCTGAGTATTGAGAACAGTGCTGCAGTGATCATGGAAGGGAAGAGTCTAATCGACAAACTTATTCCAGTTCACTGAAGCATCTGTGTCACACACAGGGCTGATTCAGTGTATGCACCACAGATTTTCTTAGTGAATGAGTGGACAATAATATTAAAATGTTCTATTTTTACAGCAATTCACAGTTATAAAGAGTTTTCTACCAGTTCACCTGATCCTCACGATGGCACCTTCAAAGTGGCTAGGAACGGATGCTCAGAAGTAGAAAGGTCAGCCTAGGGCTTCATATGGAGTCAGTGATGTACAATTCCCTCCCAGAATCCAATTCTCCATTTGGAGTTGAACAAGACAGGGCCTAGCTGTTTCTCTGTATGATTGTTCTTGCTTTTCTGGACTGTCATGGACTCCTTCTTTATTTTCAGATTACAGAACAGGCCCATGTTTCACTGTGGTCAGCAACCAGATGTGCCAGGGACAGCTCAGCGGGATTGTCTGCACAAAAACCCTCTGCTGTGCCACGGTCGGCCGAGCCTGGGGCCACCCCTGTGAGATGTGTCCTGCCCAACCTCACCCTTGCCGCCGGGGCTTCATTCCAAACATCCGCACAGGAGCGTGTCAAGGTAAACCTGGGCTCATGGAGTTGAGAATGAATGCATCGTACCTGCTGTAGAGATGTTCTCCAGTGGAGTCAGGGAGAATGGAAAAGCAGTGTCAGAGACATAACCCCACACTTTCACTGATAGCGTGACATCCAGCTAAGGGCTTAGGAACGTAGCTCACGAGAGAGAAGCTGAAGTCTCAGTGGGTTTTCTTGCCAGCAGCTTCCCCCGGATCCAGGCTGTGTTTCCATGCACCTCTGACCCCAGGGGTGCTGTGATTCTATGTTAATGCTGTGTGGAAGCACAAAGCAAGATAGGTGAACAAGGTAGATTATGTTGTTCTTTTTATTCCCCCTTCATTTGAAACTGAGTACTAGGTCTCGTGGGTTGTACTTAACTGACCTGAGGAAAATTGTTCCTCTGGACATTTGACATGCTACATTATGCATTTTTTAAAACAAGTCAGAAATAAATTAGGATTGGTTTCACAGTTTTAAATATCCCCAGATGTCGCCTGCTCGCTGCTTCTTCTACCTCCCCTAGAAGCCCTTACTCTGTTTTTGGCTTTTATTCCTGTTCCTCCAGCTGTACAAATTCTTTTATTGTCTGGCTGTCTGGCAGGAAGGAGGAGGAAGTGAACAGAGGCAATTCTATTAAACTGATGGGCCTGAACACTCTCAGGCTATCTCTGTTTCCTTAGATGTCTTCAGGGCTTTTTTTAAAAGCCAGTTGCAATATTTTCAGAAAATTCAAGATATGCTTTTCTGAAGTGAACAGATAATAGTTTGGCTTTGTTCTATATGTTAATTCTAAGGGTGAGATGCAATAAAGCAGAACTTGAGCTTGGTCTCATGGTTTTGTGGGTCTCTGTTAAATTATACTTTGATAAATTCCACATCTGATATGGCTAGTCCTGCACCCTGGCTTTCAAATACAACAGACAAATCCTTTGTATGCCTTTGAACATATCCGAAGCAGCCAGAAGTCACTTTGGAGCCCTAAAATTATAAAGGGCTTGATCACTGGATTTTATAAAATTAAGAGTAAGTGCCATGTTTGATTCCTTCTTATTTTCCCCATTCTTAGAAAGGCCCAGAGTTTTGAAGAATTTGTTGGTTTTAGTGTTCTGAAGCTAGCCATGAACTTGTTGACAGAGACTAGAAAGGCAGGCCTTGAGTGCCCAGCTGCCTGTCATCGAGTCATGGTCCAAGGCTAGGGTGTTGAGAAGTGGGGACAGAGAGGGACAGGGAGTGGGAAGAACTTGCCTCCTCTTTAGATTGATGTTCATTCCATATAATCTGGATTTTTCTCCAGTTTGCTTCCTGTTCCTTTCTGACTGCTATCCAACATCTAAGGAATTTTTTAAAGGCTTTTTTTTTTTTAAATAAGAAAATTTGTGAAAACCCATGGGGTCAAAATAATTGTTAGGTTGCCACTTGGAGAATAGAGTCCTTCATTTTATTCGTTATTGTCTTTGTTGTTGTTGTTTGTTTATTTGATTTTTTATTTTTTGGACCATCATGGGATATCTTCTTGCTGTTTTCCCAGACCTTGGGCCAGATGTGAGGAGTTGCTGGCAAATAGGTTCATAGAGGAGCCTATTCTGTTGTCAGTCTTGGCTCATACAGCCAGGGGAGAGTTGCCCTCATAGACATTTCCTGTTGGCCAAATATCTTGATCAGCAAGACATTCTAGATATGTTTGTATGTAAAAATCTTGATTTCATATAGCCTTTTAGTAAACATTTAACATATCAAGGGAATGGAAAATTCCAATCTAAGATTAAACTGAAATTGGCTATAAAATAAAATTCAATTGTATTTCAATATAGTAATTCATTTGTCAGAGCATTTAAAACAACAAGTGATATTTTTATATCAGAATAAAGAGCTCTTACTCCTTTCACTATGTGGTGACTTTTCTTGAGAACACAGATGAAGGCCTTACAAACAGAACTGGCTTCTTTACTCAGTAAAGAATGAAACTAAAGACATTGGTCTTCCAGGTTTCTAGAACAGAGTACAGGAGGAAACAAATGTTTCAATGAGGGCTCTTTTTTTAAAAAAAATTCTAATTTGTTATATGTAACAGCAGAATGCATTACAATTCACATTATACATATAGAACACAATTTTCATATCTCTGGTTATACACAAAGTAGAGTCACACCCATTCATGTCTTCTCACATGGACTTACTGGGGGGTCTTTTTCTGTGATGTGAAGGGATGCAGAGATGGAGAGAGTATGTGTGTACTTCTGCAGTCTTCATAGATGAATGCAGTGAGCCTGAGATGATTAATGTTGTTTTGGGAAGTTTAGTATTTGGGGTTACACAGAGGAGCACAGGTTAGTCCTTAGGTGCTGGGGAAAGAGCATTAAATAAAGTGGACAAAGTTTCTGTTCTTTGGAAGCTTATATTGAAGAGTTTTCAAAACAAAACGAACATATGTATTAGGTCACTTGGTGTTGAGGGTCAGGGGGCCAGAGGTGGTGATTTGACTGCTCAAGGAAAAGCTCACTTCTCCAGTGGCATTGAAGCAGAGACTGAAGGATGGAACAGCATGAGCTACACAGCCCTCCAGGGAAAAACATTCCAGGCAGAGGGGCCACCAATACAAGACCCTAACACAGGAACACCCTGGATATATTTGAGGAAGACTGTGTGATGCGAGGGGAATGAGGGAGAGTGGGAGGTGAGACCAGAGAGCAGAAAGGTTATGGAGGACTTTCTGGGACTCAATGTGGACTTGAGTTTTGAGCTGGGAAGGGCATGATCTGACTTATCTTTTAAAAACTTCCTTCTGGCAGGTACTCTGCCAGCAGGGGAAGGCTTCAGCTGGGACGGCATGTTCACTGGGAAACATCTCTCACTGCTTGCCCTGATTTTTTGAATTTTTACCACACAAGACAGTTCTTCAGAATGTCAAGACGACATTTCTCACTTCATTTATACAAAAAAACATTAGCTGTCCTTGTAGCCTAAGATATCTGAAATCAATTGTTCTAACTAAATCATCAGTACAATTCTTAAAAATAGATTCACTGTAAAAATAGATTGTATTTTGATTTCAAGGATTTCTTCAATAACTAGTTATTGCTTCCACTTTGGAGATTAAAGCAAGGCAGTGAGTTAAAAAAAAATCATTGTACCCTCATACTTTGTTGCAATAAGACCCACAAAAGCTAATACAAATATTATCCTCTGTATGAGGAAAGATGGAAGGTGGGAAAATAAAGAGTACTTCTTACAGAACATTACTGACAACTATATAATAACAAATTTTATTTCACATAACATAATTGTGAGAAATAGCTTCTCCCATCATAGTCCAAATATGGTGTTGGACAACTTGATATAAATATGGTAATATAATCGTGGACAAACTGTCACATTTTCTTCTGCAATAAATTTTATATGAATCTTTCTCTCTCTCTTCTAAAATCTGACAGATGTGGATGAATGCCAGGCCATCCCTGGGCTCTGTCAAGGAGGAAATTGCATTAATACTGTTGGGTCTTTTGAGTGCAAATGCCCCGCTGGACACAAATTTAATGAAGTGTCACAAAAATGTGAAGGTAAGAAATCTCGTGCTTTGCAGCCAAGGGAGGTGGGGGAGGGCAGACAACTCATCAGAAACAAGCTTGTTTTCGAATTTCTCCTAAATCCTTCAGTCTTTGTCATCCCCATGAAAGTGTAAATATAATATTCCTACCAGGAATAATATGCCTTTGTGCCATTGAACCAGAAACACCCTGCAGCTTTTTCCAGTTTTGTAGACCCAAAATAAGAGGTCCATCTGAATCAAATTAAATATTAAAACATGAAATATTTTTGAACCAATATTTGGTTTAAAATGTTCAAGACACATGTTTTTGCATAGTTCTAGAGACATGAATTTAAATTTGATCATTAGATAGCACTAAAAATGATATATCTTCTGATGTTTTTCATGTTAAAAATGTGTGTTTCATTTGGGGGAAGTGGGGAGACCTGTTAACTCTTACATTTAAGCTTCTAGTACAAGTTTAGAATTTTCTGGGGTATGACATATGCCTATCAAATGGAAACCTTTCTAATGTTAGTCAAAAAAAAAAGAACATGGAGTACATTTTTATATATGCATTTAGTTTATTGATCAGGCTTCTAAAAATGTGAATTATAGAGGATGTGTTCATATTTGCTACTACTGTTATTTGCATAAAGAGGCCTGGCTTCCAAGTGTGGTCATCATTTCTTTGTGAGAAGGAAGCATCAGAAAAATAAGTAGGTGGCATTGAATTCTCTTTTCTTTGATGACCTCATGTAACTTTCATATAGCAATGTCCGATAGCCATGGAACAGTACCCTCACAGCTACATCACTCATTGAGCTCAGAAGAGAACATTTTTTCCTTTGCTCTCAACTCATTCTTCCTAGAGTGCTCTGAGATTTATTTAGGTGCATGCATTTTTATTGAAAACAGTTGCTGTGGTATTCATTCCTAGACTCTAGCAATGAGGAATGGTTCATTCATAGCTCTATGTCTGAATCTGAAATCCTTAACCTCTTTTTTAGTTGCCCAGTATAAATATCAGCAAAAGACAGTTTTAAATTTAAGGTGCAATTCATAAATTACATGTCAGATATTAAATATCAATTTGGCCTGAGTGGAATATTCTAACTTTGATAGAATTACATGTATAGGTTGGAGTTGTTTTTATGTTGTTAAGTCATAGAATTTATAATTACTGTTGCATTCTTGAATATGTTATGCATAGTTATTTGAGGTAGCTGTGAAAAATCCTTTAATTCCCTCTGAAGTAAGCCTTCTTAAAAACATTTTTTAAGTTTCACAGAACAGTATAATTGACTCTCTATGGCTGAAAGTACTTTAGAAGTTTTATTGTATATTTGAGTTTGAAGCTGAGTGTTGATACTGAAAGGGGCAAAGAACTCTCTTAGTTCCACCCTTTGACATTATAAATTAAGGGACTATGTCTGTAGTACATTAAGTGTTCTGCAAAGTGCTAAAATTGGCCTTTTTTGACTCACACTCTGTTGTTTTTTTGAGCTATTTTGTATAGTCTTCTTTCCTAGATGAAAGCTATTATATCTACTTTACCAACTATACTATCTAATATTTGGAACTCTGTAAAATATTAGGGTACAGGTTTTCAGGTATTGCCATACATATCTGTTGTGAAGTTTATCCAATGAACTAGTAAGGTTTCTCACATGCAGAGCCCATCTCAACAGTGGATTGTGTCTCAAATTTTTAAGAATTATCAGTTTTACATATTTAGCTCCAAGATACACAGTCGACTTCAAGATTTGGGGCAGTATAGACCATGTTTTCTGGAATAATGATAGCTTCCAGGCTCAAATAGAATTGACTTTTTGTCTTTTGATTTTTACTCAGACCACGTAGTTAACAGGAATGGTCCACGGATGTGGACTAGACAGAAGGCACAGATTTAATTCTCACATTGAAAGAAAAATGATTCAAATCCTTTTATGCTAAGGAACTAATTATGGTGGTAAATCAAATGGACCAAAAATTCAGCCTGAAAATTACTTAATCCTTTTACACACACACACACACACACAATTTTTCCAGCTTCATATTAGAATCAGTAGCAAGATAAAAACAGAATACTTTTGGCTAGACATTTTTTTCCTTGCCATCTACTGTTACATTAAATTTGGTTGATGTTTTTTCCCCCTTCTTTTTTATTTTCCTATGCAAAATTGATATTAGATTAGAATATCCTGTTAGTACTGCATGTACTCTGGCCTGGAAGATATTTAAGCTCTGTTGACCAGTCTTGCTCTGGTAGGAAAGTCATCAGAAAGTCCTCTGAGAACTCTTGGCGAGCTGAATCCACTCCTTCAATTCCCTTACTACTTTCCAGTTATGGAACCTCACTAGTTGGCATAGGCTAGCCTCTAGATAATCAATACAGAGAACCCAGGAAATCTGGCTCACAACCACTGAAAGAATAAGAGAGCCTCTTTGTATCCCAGGAAGCTGATCAGGCATAACTGTGGCATTCTGTGCCTTGTGTTTTACTCAGCTTCCCATTACTGTGACAAAATACCTGAGGTAATCAACTTCAAAGGAGGAAAAATTAATTTTGTGTCATGGTTGCAGAGGTGTTAGTCCATAGTCTGTTGACTCCATTGCCTAGGAATATATGTTATGGCAGGAGCACCTAGTAGATGAGGCCTGTTTACCTCATGGCAGCAGAGGAATAGAGAAGGGGTGAGGTCTCAATAATCCCTTTAAGGGCACACTCCCAGTTACCTGTCTTCCCTCCACTGGGCCCAACATCCTAAAGGTTAGACCACCTTCTGCGCTGGTCCTCAAGGGATGGAGCCCTTACTACATGGATCTGTGGAGAACATTCTGAGATCCAAATTATAGTAATTCAATCAAATTGGTCTTAGCAGTTCCACAAGATCCTAATCATCATGTCTCACATGCAAAGTCTATCTTTGAGTTACTTTTTATGAGATCTTTCTTTTCCATAAATCTCCTTTTTTTCCTATACAATGTCCTTTTCCCCAAATTTAAATAAAATGTTGCAGACCAAGATTTATGTAAATATGCACAGTTTAGGTACATTTAAAATGTAAATTAATAAGCTGAACTGATTAAATAATTATTAAAGTTTCATACATTTAAGAAGAAAAAGATTGAGATTTATAGCTGTGATTTGAGAAAATGGGAAATTAAGTTCATGCCCATCTTTTTTGTTGATTTTTCCAATGACTGTAGGGTGCATGTACTGAAAGAACACATGAGCCTTTTCCTTTTGGAAACCAAGTCCATATTTGCATAGGTTACTGTGGGAGGAAATTAAGAAATAAAAAGTGTAATTAAAGGATTAAGTTTTACTTTTGGAAGAAGTCCCTTGGATTCCTAATTAACCACTAATATTTTGGGATTTAGATTATCGTCAGCCCAGCCTCTAACAATTAGAATAGCACTGCATGATGCAAAAGACTTTTTAAAAAATGCGGCTCTTAAGTCCATGCACTCCCTAATATGTGAGCCAAAAACCTCAGGATTTACCCTTTCTAAAATAATGGCTCTTATTCTCTCAGGCACAAAGAATAATTCCTGGAACTGTTTAACCCATTGCTCCAGGTAGGCTGCATCATCTGAGCTGGTTGTAGGTCCCTGACTCTTACTGCTCCAGGTAACTAGTTCTCCATACAATTAGTTGGATAAAATCTCTGCAGTATGGGCAAAGAACCCTGAGAATAAAGAAGAGCTGGCCCTCATCCTGGTCAAATCACTAGTCCTCTTCATAATCTTAGACACATCAATTTCCATCTCTGAGTTACTTCACTTGTCAGATGAGGAGGTTGAACAAGAAGATATATGGAGGTTCTGTTCAGTTTCACATCCAGAACCCACCTTTACACTTAATATTATTTCTAAGTTGTGATCAGTTAACTGATGCCGCATGAGTAAGAAACCATGAAAACTGAGTACGCGGTTGGGGCTCTAGAATAGCACGGCTGATGCTCTTCTCCACGAAGCTTGAGGAGTCAGCTTGTTTCCTTTTGAGTCACACCTTTTACACTGAGTTGAGTTTGTATAATAAAACAAAGTTAATTTCACAGACTCAGTGCCTTCATAATCTTTAGTGTCACACATGACTTTTAAACAGTTGCCACAATTTTTAGGTTGTTTTTTTTTTTTTTTTTTTTTTTTTTGTTTTTTTGTCTCACTGCATCAGTGATTTAGACAGTCAGGATCAGGTAATTGGTTTCCCTTGTCAAGTCCACAGTCTTGGACAGAGCTTCTGGGTGACTGAGTGTCTGTCTCAGTGATGCCCTTTCTGGAACTGGTAATCATGCTCCATGCCATCTCTTTTCTTCCCTTCAGGAGTGAAAGAGAAAAGAAACCACCAAGGGTAGAACTGAAGGTTCTAGAATTAACATATTATCTAACGGCACATTTTAAGACAACTAGGGAGGGAAAGAACCTGCCACTTGTGCTTCTTCTCAGGCTCCTATCAAGAAATCCGTGAGGCCATGGCAGCTCCCAGGAACAGCTACTTCCTACCAGCTCTGCCTCTCTCCTACCACAAGGAGACAGGAGCAGGTGCCCAGAGCACAGTAATAGCTCTTCCCAGCCAAGCTCCGTTGCTGGCCGGCCTCCCCAGCTGGTTGGCTTTTACAACTGGCATTTGATACAGACTGACTTGCAGAAACTCTGCAAAAGTCGCCATTCTCAATTTCTCTCTTACTTGGGATTCGTGAAATTCTATTAAAAGGAGATAAATGCAGAGTGGTAAGCGTGAGGGAATAAACACATCAGTATGAATGAGCATCAGAGTGTGATTCCCCTTCAGATGCTTTGTTTTCCTCTCAGCAGCTCCACCACAGCCTCATAATGAGATCAACTTTTACTTTTCCATTTAGAAACAATGGGAGAAGAGGTGGTTCAGGAAAGTTGAAAGACAAAAGGTGCCTGAAGGAAGAAGTATGTCACTGAGGAGGGAACATTTGGGAAGCACAAAGTCATTTAAGCTGCTTTGAACATCATAATCTGTCTTAGTCCCACTTTTATTTGAGTGAGAATTAAGAAGCTGTGCACTCGAACATGTTCCTGACCTGCTGGCCTCTAAAGACACGTACCCAAGGAGACTCCCCTGACCCCCGCCAGCCCTGGTCAAGTGGAGACTTGAGTTTAGCAGAAGTTTTTAAATTATGAACTCCTTTGCTTTTATTTCAAATTTTACCCATGTCAGTTTTCTGAAGGTCTCTGTGGAATGCCCAGGCACCAGAGGTGTAGGACTAAGGTCCTGTTGTCACACCTGAATTGTGGGGATTGGATGACTTGATATCCAGTCAGCATTTAGACAATGCCTGGCACTCTGCATTTATGAACTCTCATTATTATTATTGCTTTTATTATTATCTTCAATAAAGGGTACAAATCTAACCTAACCAGCAGGAAGAAGATGTTTTCACCATCTAGCCAAATTCTGTTTTTTAAATGTCTTTTTTAAAAAATATATATATATGCAGTCCCTTTACCTCTTTGGCTATTGAAACATGTTGAGTCGACTTAATAAAGATGATAGCAGTTATTTATATTAATAGATAGAAAAAGTCTTTTTAATAGATGATGTCCCCTCATGTGATGTTTTGGTAGGTATTCATAATAGATAGTGTTCTCTCCTGTGATGTTTGTGACTCAGACATTAACTTCTAGGGACGTTTTGAGAAAGATACATTTTGATACCTTTGCCTTATAGTTCTCTGTCCTTAAATGAGGTTTTGAGCCCTGTAGGCTCTTTGATAGTCTTGTTTGGGTTTTTTGTTTGTATTAAGTAAAGTGTGGCTGGGGGAATACAGAAGGCTCCATTTTAAGGAGCTGTCTTAAAAATGCGCCTTGAGATAATATGTTGATTCTAGAACCCTCAGCTCTGCCCTTGGTGGTTTCTTTGCGTTTTTCACTCCAGTGAAATTTATATCTGTTGGAATAGAGTATGCACCTCTACCATTACATAAATTCACGATGGCAGTGCTGTTTATGTTAGCATTGACTCTGACTTCAGCAGTGAAATATTGCTTGTTTCAGCCTCTAGCCTAGCATGGAAGGATGGTGATTTTGCTTTTCAAAAGGTTAAACTGCTTATAAACAGTGTCACTGCTGCCTTTTTGACTAACAGGGTGAACTTGAGGTAGAATGTACTTAAATCTGATCCACTTAAAACCCTATTTTTTTGTTTGTTTGTTTCATTTATCATCATCGTCATTGTCGTCATCATTATTACTGAACCCAGGGGTGCTTAGTCACTGAGCCAGGTCCCTAACCTTTTTATTTTTCATTTTGGGACAGGATCTCACTGAGTTGCTGACACTGGCCTTCTCAGGCATGCATCACCACAACCAGCTTTATTTATTTTATTTTATGCTTTGAGACAGGGTCTTGCTGTGTTCCCCACGCAGGCCTCAAACTTGCAGTCCTCCTGCATTACACCTCCATGTAGCTGGGATTGTAGTGGCCCACTGTGCTTGGCTCCCTATTTTGGTTTTTAAATGAAGAGCAGCTCTAGACTGGAGAAGACATGTTCTTATTTTGAGGTCCTAACCCTTTCTGAGTTTCACTGGTGTCAACCTGGCCATTGCAGCATTCCTAGAAGGCTTGGGGCAAATCCAGCCAGTCCTAGGTCCAGCCAGACAGCCCTCTATTTGTTTTAAAGAGGAGACCATGTAAATCAGGGGGTACGGAGCCCAAGCAGGAAGTTCTCAGTTTCATCTCTCCCCCTCCTGATGCCACATATTGAAGTTTGTCTATGTGTGAGTTGTGCTGTGGAAAGCTTCCCTTGAAGGAAATGGTCGTATTTGACCCAAAGGACACACTTATTGCTTCCTTAGAGGAGATCAATGACCAGGGCCCTAGAGGGCTGACCCCAGCTTTGGCCTCTGTAACATTTAGGATGCTACTAGGGAGTGATGTCCTTGATCAACCCCTGAGGAAGAGAGGGGAAAGGACAAAATTGTGCAGATGGAGAAGGTGAACTGGAGCTGTGGTGTGGCCCAGCAACAGCCTCAGCTGACCCCATGGGGAAGTGGAGAATTGGAGTGGCCTTGGAGTTGTCCACTGTGGGGTTGAAATGATCAGACCTTCGTTCCTCTTGCCAATTATCTGTCATCAGATGAGGTACCTAGAGATGGTGTGACCTTGGGCAAGGCAGCCCTCTACAGCTTGGGTGATCCCTAGAGGGGCTGGCAGCTTCCATCGACTGGGGCAAGGCCTTCCTTGAATAGAATCTGGGGGAAGCACGAAGCTCCATGACAGTTATTCATCAAGTGTGCATTCACCACACCCACAGAAAATCATCATCATGGTAGTTTGGATATGCCCCCACAAAAACAGAGTTAGTACCCTTATGCTTTGAGACAGGGTCTTGCTGTGTTTTACCCTTAGTCTTGTCCTCCACGATGGTCAATTCTTGGTTAGCACCCAGACCACAAGGTCTTCTCTGAAGGATTTCAGTGTATGCTTTGTAGAAAATCAGGTTGAAAAAAAGTACAGGAAGTGGAAATGATGCCAAATTTAAAATCATAAGTAGGGGAGTTTAACTCAATGCCAAACATGGAGAGAACTGGGAAAACAGAATTTCAAAATAAATGACATCTGGCATGTTATTATAGTATTAGCATGCTGTCATGACTTTGTGAAACAATTGTACACAATCTTAGATTCTAAAGGGAAATTAGTTTATTATGTTCTAATCGCCTGAATTTGACCAACTCCTTGGGCAAATCTGCTGCACGAAGTACTCACTCTTGAAATGGACTATTCTCTACACAGGTTTTCTGTAAAGATGGCTATTTCTAGTCTCATGATTTGACCAATATTATATGTGAATCATAATGATGAAGTTCTATACTGTTCTATGAATACTGAAACTCTTTATTATGTTCCAGATATTGATGAATGCAGCACTATCCCTGGAGTCTGCGATGGGGGTGAATGTACAAACACAGTCAGCAGTTACTTTTGCAAATGTCCCCCTGGCTTTTACACCTCTCCTGATGGTACCAGATGTGTAGGTAAGTTTAATCATAGATAGCATGTATGGTTTGTGTAAGTCAGTTCTGCAGTGAACATCTTTCTCGACAAGTTTGTTAAGGGGGACATATAATCTCTCATTTGTAGTAAAAAAAAAATGTGCATTTATGGAAATATATTGAACTGTAGAGCACTCTCTCAAAGAACAGAGGAATCTTCTGGTCTTGTTTTGAGATTCATTGTCTCCTATGAAAGGTGGATAATCCAAGAGACACTACAGATATCCTCCAAATTAGCAGTGCAGTGGTGCAGTGTCAAATCTTGAAGCTATTATCTATTTATAACCCCACCTTCCATCATTTCCTAGGGTCTATGTTAATTTAGGACAGAAATTTTGCAGTAATATCTTAATTGGTCTCCCTGTTTCTTGGCTTCTCTACAATCCATCTTGTCAGATTTATCTTCCTAAAATAGTGCTTTGATTAAATAACACTCTTGCTCAAAAATCTCTGGTAGTTTTCCACTCAGGCTTGGAAATTAGCAGTTTTCAGTCTGTATCCATTGGATCCTTCAGGGGTACAGACTCTTCCAAGGCTGCTGGGTATGAAGGGGACAGTGACAATAGGACAGGCTCTTCCTTCATACACATCCTCCACGCTGGCAATTTCACTCTTATTTGTTGTGGCCTCCATGCAAGTTGTCGGTTAAAGGGGGCTCTATCTATTTAAAAAGTAGGTTTGGCAACTGCTGGATTTAGCAATTGTTAAGACTTCCTTCGAAGTCTATTGTTTTAGAATAAAATTCACATTCCAGAAAGCACAACCTGATAGTCCAGGGGCTTCACCCTTCCCAGCTTTACTAACCTGGCAGCACAGTCCAGCCTTCTCACCACCAAGTGGGCCCTTCATTTAGGGCCCCTTCATGCCTCTACTCATACATGTTACACCACTCTGAACACGCATCTTCCGGACTCCCACCCCTTTCATGCCTCCACACAGGTTTTCTGTCTTTGAAGATGTCCCAGATCAACTTACTAGAAAGCAACTTACTCCCTAACTTGAAGACATGCCTCTCACGAGTGGCCTTGTGGGGATACCTGTGTTGGCATGTTTTTGTCTTCCCCATTCAGTTGAAAGCTCTCTGTAAAGACTGGTAACTGCTCTCCTTGTATTCCTGGTGGTTCTCAGCACACTTTCTTGCACATAGTAGGTACTCAGTATTTGTTGAATATCAAAAGGGGTCATTCATTATTAGCTTTAGGGTAAAGCTAAGAAACCTGTGGCACAGAGCCTTGCCAAAAATAAATGCTACTTTTTGATGTTTGTGTCTGGTCCATAATCTCCAAGACACTCAGCTTCACATCTTCATCATGTATTTTGGACCAAACTGAAGCGCATTTGAAGGTCTGGCCTACTTTTTCCTCAGTCACATATAATAACAACAACTGAGGGAGTCTCTTAGAGTTGATAGCTAGTGAGGAAAGTCTACCTGAACTTTTCTTAAAAACAGCAGTGGTGTCTGGATTGCCTGGTTTCCTGGAATAGTCATTGGAACTGCAAAGAAAGAAGGACAAGCGCAATCCACATAGCTCCTTTTTCTTCCCAAACAGCCCCAATTAGCAAGTGACCTCCAGTGGGTCTAACCAGCAAAAAGAGAGAGATGAGGGGCTTTTCTTGTCCAGACAGTGGGTACATTTTGTTTTTAACTCTTCAACAAGAGCCCTGGATTACATTAAATGGATTAAAATACATTTACATACCAGATGGTTTATATTTTGAAAATTCTTTATTTGATCAAATCTATCCATGCTGCCTTTTTACAAAGGAAGAGGGGGAGGGAACTAAGATTCACGGATCACCTCTAAGGTGTGAGGTGTTTTATGGAAACTGATTTAATGTTCAAAGTACTATAGTTGGGAGGAAGCGGAATTTAGAGAGAGGTTAGTAAATAATTTGGAACAATAGTTTAATCAGGAGATAAGCCTGGGAGCTGGGATCCCATGGTGGGCCTGTATGAGTCTGCAGTACAAACCTCTCCCCTTACTTTCTGCCATGAACATCAGATGCAGTCACAACTTTCTTGCCATTACCCCAGACATGCACTGTTTTCCCATTCCTGGAACCTTATTGCAACCACAATTAGCAACTTGCTGCATAATTTGACCCCAGTGACATGGCTGCCTTTCCTGTCACTCATATTTCCCTCCAACCATAGAGATCCCCAAATTTTCCCCAGTGACAAGAAAATACAAATAGTCCCCAACTCAAACGAATCCAAGGTTTGTTTGTGAGATGGTTGTTTAGAATTAGTGAATCTAAGTAATAGAAAAACCTATTTGTAAATAGTCTTATGTAGTATTTTCTTTATGCATCTCTTACAACAATGAAATTCCCACTGTTACCCTCTGTCATCACATTCTGACCCTCTCAGTCTTCTCACCTGCAACACTCCCTCTTTTCTCTGAGCTCTTATAGTACCACTTGATAATAACTTTTATGTAGGACTTCCCTTTTATATTAGTGTGACTTATCACTTCAACTTCTTGGGGTGATAAGGATGTCCTGTTCCCACTTTAGCTTCACAACTCCTAGGTCCTAGTTGGACACAACAATGTTAATGATTCATTAGGCGAGGCCTGGGATGATTTGAAACTATCTATTTTAATTTTTTTTTGGTACAATATGATTTTTGCATCCTGAGGATAAAGGACAAGTGATTCGTAAGCTGGGAAAGGAGGAAGGTTCCCTACTCCTTGTCTGCCAGGGCAGATTGAGAATAGTTGAAGATGTCTATGATTCCTCCTACTTCTCTGTAGGCCCTCCAATTCCTGACAGTCTTCATCCCTGGCTCCCGTAGGTCTTCAGGTTTCCTAAAGCCACCCTGACCCTCTATGCAAAGTAGTCCAGGTCCTGGGAGGGCTGCTTTCCCCCTTACTATGGCACTGCTACCTACAGAAGTGAAAAACTTCAGATTGTTCTGAGCTCAGTTCCTCCAAATGGTCCCTGATTTTCACAGTTTTATCCTTCGTTTTCTCATTAGCTTTAGGTTTTCTTTAAAATTAATCCATAAATCAGGAACTTCCACTAATCCAAACACAACTTGTAATTTTTTGAGCGTGGACATTTACCATTTTGATCATTTTGAATTAACTTATTAGTCAGCCAGATGGGCAATAACATGGTATCACAGTTAATTTGCAAAATAATAGACATTAGCCCATTAAGAGTTTACCATTGGCAGCTGTAGATTCCAGTTTTTCTCTGAAGGAGATAGGTCATACTTAAAATTATATGTACAAATTTCATAATTTGGTCAAATGTTTATACTGGGTTTTGAGCACCAAAATAGTTTGAAGCTGGGATCTGAGCCAGTTTGAAGTATCTCTTCCTATTCTTAATAACCATTGGTTTCCATGCCCCAAATATTTACTAAATGAGTATATAGAGTATTAGTGGCTTTAAGGCACTGCAAATCAGAATGTAGGAAGTGCCATTCCTCCCCCCTCCCCAGGCTTCCCAGAGTTTGCTCCACAGCCCCTTCTCTAGCCATTTGCCCAGCATCAGGCTAGAATAAAACTTATTCCAGCTCTTTACTGAGACTGTTAATCTGACCAGAGGTACAGAAACTGGAACCACAAAAAATTTCTGGAAAGCACATTTATACTTGCTAGTGGTTTTAAGTACTTCTCAGAAATAATCTTATATCTGTAAGTCTGACCTATAATTTTCTTTTACGGTTTGTCTAGGTTTGTTTTAGCCTTCTTCACTTAATGTTAATAATTGAAATGTTTCAAAATTAGTTTTTTTTAATTTTATTTTATCGATTTATTACAACCCTCAGAATTTGGAGGCTCTGTGTTTTTAAGAATGATGTTGATGATAAGAATTATAGGCATAACCCTCTGTGAGAAAACTTGATGTTTAATAAGTTAGACTCATAGGAAACATAGGGATGGATTTGGGACTAACAGATCTTTCATGTTACAAAAAGATTTGCTATTTATATTTTTTTAAATGACAAGCATAGTTAAAATATTATTTATTTTTCAAAACATAATTTTATAGGAACCAAGCTGAGATATATTGTACTTAAAGAGAGGTGCACCTTCAACATGTGCCAGGTAGATAAAGGTGTTTCATACTTTACTGCTTCCTTCTCTGTTTTATTAGGACTATCTCAAGGCTTTTCCTATGCTAGACACTCTTTTTGATAATCCAGAGTCATACTGCCTGTGTCAGATATTGTCATGACAGTCAGACATGATGTAACCCAATAAAAGTGATAAATAGAAATGTGTCTTACCATGTTGCTTTGAGAAGATACCTTTCTGCCAAAAAAAAAATTAAATCTTCTACAATTCTTATATTCTATAGGGCTAAGAATTTGGAATCCTTTATGCTTTGAACTTGTAAGTCATTACAGCCTTAAAAAAAAATCTGTTTAGGCCCCAGGACAAAAGGAATCTTGATTAATAAGCATTAGATCTAGCTGTGAACTGGCTCATTTCTTAAAAAAAAAAAAAAAAACTTACAAGCCTGACTCACAGTTTCAGACTAAAATATAAGAAAGATCTTTTTGAAACATAGACTATAGCTCAGACTTAATGTTGTTTTAAAATAGATTTATATAAATATTTGCCTAAAGTGGCTCAAATTAAGTAGATGGAAACCAAGGACAACCTAAGTCTCTCTTCAGTACAGAGACATGTCTTTATAAATAATTAACTGTCACTGCCGGTGATTTTCTTAGTCTCTCTTTCCCTATGGCACATATGGTTTTAATCATTCATTGCCACCTTGGGTATGGAATGTGGGCCTTTGGCCAAGTGCACCAGTGTGCAGGGGCAAAAGGTGCGAGGCAAGACATTTCTGACTGAGCCTTGCACAGGCACAGTGCTCACAGTGTCCCCTGCAGAGGACAGAGGAGTGAGTTCACCCAGCTGTTGCCCACGCATGAGGCATAGAGGTGCTGAGGCAATGGGGTGTGGTCACTGGTTGGATCTCAACCAATGAGTGTGTGTTTCTTTGTTTTCTCAGATGTTCGCCCAGGATACTGTTACACGGCTCTGGCAAATGGGCGCTGTTCTAACCAGCTGCCACAGTCCATAACCAAAATGCAGTGCTGCTGTGATGTCGGCCGATGCTGGTCCCCGGGGGTCACTGTCGCCCCTGAGATGTGTCCCATCAGAGCAACAGGTAAGGTCCCTTCTAGTCATCTACAGAATATCCCAAGCCAGTGACAGTGTGCATGATGCGGATCTAACGGAAACTTAGGTAAATAAGTAAGACTCCTGGAAATGTAAGAGATGACAGCCAGGGATCTTTCCCCAGATGATGTATAGGGAATCGCAGATGTTTATACAGCAAGGACTGTTTTGAGACACTACTACTTACTTAGCTTGCATGTCAACACTGAAGAGCCACCTTTTCAGGAAGTTCTTGTTTTCTTTTATTCTCGCTTAGGGACTCAGTAGCTCATGTTCAGGAATCAGACTCAGTAGGATAGAATTCAGCTCCCCCAGAACATATATTTCCTCTTTGCCTGACATTTGAAACTTTGCTCTTTCTGTTGGTAACTCCTGCTGATTTTTTTTCTTCATGACGTTTCTTTTCTCTGTTATATTCCTTTCACTTTCAACTAAAAGCTTATTTTTCTCTGGCCCAAACTATTGCAGTAGCCTCCCAAATTGTCTACATGAAATCCAAAGGCGCCACATACATTTCCCAAAGTCTAACTCATCTAAAGTTGAGTTTTAAAATTATGTCTGGAGAAGAAGTAAAGAGAGATATTCAGAAAAATTTTCCTCAGAATGAACTTGGGCAATATTCAGTGGTCTGAGTCACACCTAAGATTTTACTACTTAGTATGGCGTGATTGATGTCCCCAAATCTGATCTCCAGATCTTAATCTTTTAATGTTCTTTTTAGTAATTTTATTTCCTCATTAAATTATATGATTGAATTTTTTTCTTGAACTCAGTCTAAGCATTTTTAAACTCAGTGTGTCCTATTTTTCTGAAATCCTTGCCTAGTTCAGGTCTTTACTCCCTACTGTCACCCTTGCTTGTTATAGACCCTCTGGTGTGTTAAGGACCCACCTAAACAGGACCTAATCCTTGGCATCCCAAGGTCACCACAGCTGGAAATGCTCCCTTGTGCTTTGGTGGTTCCAGTTTGTACTTTTGCTGTGGCTCGGCTTCGTGCCTACATTTGTTCACCATATTGGGTTGTTTTTTTTTTTTTTTACTATTTGATAAATCTCATTAAGAGGTCTCTTTCATCATTATAATTTCATATTGTTCATGCTTTTTTTTTTTACTTCTATAGTCAGCTTTTTACTCTTTAAAAAAAAATCAGCATCATCTCTGAATTAAGTAGGAAAGCTAGACATCAGTTGAGCAAAATTAGCCCCTGGTTGCTGATCCTGACCACAAAGGGTTTCACTGGAAAGTTATTAATCTGTAGAAAGTAGGAAAGAGTAAAGGACCTGGTGTGAGACACTTTCCTAGAGGGCTAAGACCAATTTAATGGCATTCTTAAAGTAATATACCCATCTAATTAACAGAAATGCCGATAAGCTATCCAACTTCTTTTACATAAGTCCTAAAGAATTAAAAAAAAGAAAGGCTGAACTGGTGCTTACAGGTATTTGGAAACAAAGTGAGTCCCTTGATATGGTTGCCATTCAGTTAAATCCAACTCATAGTTAATGAAATCCTCTTATGTGCAATTTACAGGATTGGGCTAAAAGTGAGAATTAGTTATGAGTCGTATATGATCCTTGACTTCAAAGACTGCACAGTCTCAGGGGTAGAGATTTGATGAAAGCAAGTGCCCAGGGATTGATGGATATGGCATGACCAGATAGAAAGAATGACTGTGATTTGACAAAAGGGATTTTAGCATCCTGAGTCAGGGAAACACAAACAATATAAAAGTCTTTTCCAAATATAGGGGAGTACTATGGAATCTTGTAGGCTTCAATTCCAGAAAGTAATAATTAAAAGGTAGTAATGGAAACTACTGAAAACATCAACTTGTCTTGAGTTGGAATGTGAAGTATGATGAAAGAAGGTTTAGAAACAGACCAGCAGGTTATAGCAGGATATGTGGTGGCTTGGTGTAGGTAGCCATATGTAAATTGTCATCCTGTTCCATGAGGTTGAATTATGCATGCATCTCAGTAAAACGTTACTATTCCTTAGAATAAGTCAAAATTCAGTCCACATGAAAATGAAGATATTAGCCTGATCTCTATCAATGACTAAAACTAGTATAGAAAGTATTTATGGAAGAATCACTGTGTGACTATGATAATATCAACATTCTGGCAAAAGATTAAAAATTTTAAAATCCCATCATTAGTTTATAGAAGGGAATATAGCCCTTGAAATATAGCCCTTGAAAACTGGATATTATCTTAAAATATATTTTTGAAAGCTCAGATAAGATGCGTAACAAACCAAAAGATCATTTATTCTGATAAAGACCTAGAATTGTGAAAAATAGTATCAACCTAAACATTTGCTCCCTACTGATAACTACAAAACTTAAGCTTTTCCTCTAGACTTCAAATTCTCTTCTACAACTGCTAAGTGATGATATCTGACATCTCAAACTTGTGTGTTCAAAATGGAACTTGACTTCCACCCACCAAACCTACCCCCATGGCAACTTTTTCCCTCTCAGTAAGAGACACCAGTGTCCACCCACCTACTCAGCCAAAAAAAAAAAAAAAACTAGAAGTCATTCTTGATTTTTTTGTTTCTCAGCTCTAACATTTACTTCTTTACCAAATTCTACTTATTTATCTTTAAAATGTGATTGGGCAAATTAGTTCACTTCTGCCAAATTTTATCACTACTGGTTTTGTCCAATCATCATTATCTTGTCCTTGGTTTTCTGCAACACTCTTGCCTCCTGCCAGTTCATTCTCCAAATGTCAGCAAAAGTGATCATCTGAAAAAATTTTATCTGATCGTATTCATCCCTGCTGAAGACCTCCAGTGGTTTTCAACTGCACACTCTTTAGTTCTCTGAGGAATCCACAGGAGGGACCATCTTATGTTTTAAAACTTATGTAAGAATCATCTTATGTTTTCCATGAGGTGAATTTTTATATAGTCCATGACTTTCTGGCTTTGGGGAGGAACATATTGTGCACTCTATGGTGAGTTTGGAGTTTTGAATCATTGTTCCAATATGGTTATTACTATGGGCATAAGAAATGCAAATGAAATCCATGTTTTTTCCTTTTCTCCAATTGTGCAATGTGCTTTGAAGATCAATTTTTCTTTTCAAAGGGTGATTACTCTATGATATCAGCTACAGCTCAGCTTGTTGTATTATGTTGTGTTGTGTTTTTCCAGAGGATTTCAACAAGCTTTGCTCTGTCCCAATGGTAATTCCTGGGAGACCAGAATATCCTCTTCCACCCGTTGGCCCCGTTCCTCCAGCTCAACCTGTTCCTCCTGGCTTTCCTCCTGGACCTCCACATGTAGTCCTCAGGCCACCAGAATATCCATATCCATCTCGGGAGCCACCAAGTAAGAATTCAAAAGTCATCTTATTTTTCTTGTGCTAGTCAGGGTGATATTTTTTATTTGCTTATGCTGCTTTAGTCGTTGATAAATCTATCAATTATTGATCTGTTTTTTAGTTTATATAGTATTGTATATAGTTCTTAATTTTCCTATTGAATAGATAAAAATGGAAATCTTTTGTATTTTCTAGAAGTAAACGCCCTTTTATTTTTGATGCTTTCAGCCACATGTGGGAGAGTTATAGGAAAGACTGAAATCAGATTCACAGGATGAGTTAATAATAGAAGATTGCACTTCAGGTTATATAGCATACAAAGAACTTTTATAAATAGTTAAATATTGATAATTCGCTTCCTTAGTTGTTTTCCCAACTGAAGGCTTAAGGGTGAGTTAGCAAATGGGAGTCTGGAGTAGGCAGAGGAGCAGGCTGCAGCTGGGCTGCAATACCTCCCCACCTGCAGCACAGTGCAGAGGTGAACTCTCACATCAGGAATGGAAATATGCTCTGTCGTTGCTCCTGTAGCAATGACTCTGCCCAGAGATAGCCCTTCTTCCTTTTTAACTCAGCATCTTGTCCGTTATTGCCATATTAAGTACTGATAATTTTAATGGTGTTATAAGTCATTTCAATGGGGTTCAATGTTATTTTTCTAGGGGTGCTACCATTCAATGTCACTGATTACTGTCAGCTGGTCCGCTATCTATGTCAAAACGGGCGCTGCATTCCAACTCCTGGGAGCTATCGGTGTGAGTGCAACAAAGGATTCCAGCTGGACCTGCGGGGGGAGTGCATTGGTAAGTGACTGATCACTAGGTTGGCACTGTATTAGTTTTCTATTGCTACTGTAACAGAAACTCTCAAACCTAGTAGCTTAACACAATACAGATTTATTATCTCTCAGTTTCATAGGTAGAAATCCAACACAGTTCTTAATGGGCTGAAATTCAGGTGTAGGCAGAGCCATGTTTCTTTTGGAAGCTCTTGGGGAAAGTGTGTTGCCTTCCCTTTCCAGGTTCTGTAGGACGCGGCCTCTCCTATGACCTCGTGGACCCTTCATCTTCACAACCTATCTCTCTCCAACTCTGTTTTTCTCTTCCAATTCCTGCTTCCTCATTTAAGTTCCTTTGTGATGACATTGGTCCACCATCCAAGAGACTCCCCATTTCTAGTCCGATGATTAGAAATCTTAGTTTCATTTACAACTTTAATTCTCCTTTACACCATGTAACATATTCACAGATTCTGAGGATTAGTATATGAGCATATTTGGAGGGACATTATTCTACTTGCTACCAATGACTTCAAACCCATTATAAAATATATTCAAGGCATTGCTGGTAACTCTAGCCTGAGTCTCCCTATCAAAAGCTTGACCATTAAGTTATGAAAGCCTGACCCAAATTATGAAATTTTGTACATTTTACTAATGTAAATGTAGAACTTACCTACTTTCTTCAGTTATTAAAAACTGAATAAAGAAACTTCAAATCATGGGCAAAGCATTTAAGCTAGTGAAGGGAAGAAGTGTAATGCAATCAGTTTATTGATTGGATAAGAACAATCAGGTGCCCTCTTATTTAAAAATAAATTCATCTCTTAGTTCCAGTAAATTCCAGAAAATTCTACAATTGTGAGTCAGGCAAAAATTCTTGTTTTCTCAAGCTATTTCATTTCCTGGTGATATGAACACCCCTTCTGGAGGTCATCCAAAGCTGGGTCGGAGAGGGAGCAAGTAACTCAGGGTTAGGGAATGTGAGGTCAGCCTGCATCTTCCCCTAGGAAGCCTGTGGACAAGAGAGTTATTTTCACTAAACCCTGGTTTACTCATCTTTACAAGCAGAAGGTAAAATAGTTTGCCTCTACTTACACTGATTATTCTAAACAACTGTAACGGCAGTGGGACTTCTTATGTTGAGGACATCTGGGGGTTGGCGTGGACTCCATGTTGGGTGATAACTGCCCTTTAAGCAACAATTGCTTCATGTTTTGTTCTAATATTCTTAACAGAACTGAACAGGGGATGTTAGATATAGGTAGGCCTTCTTTATATTAGAAAAAAAAAATAGCGGAGCATTAAGAGATACTCTGAATCCTATCCAGAAGCCACTTGTGAAATGTTAGCCTGTTCAATTTTTTTTAGGTCAGACTCATGGAAGAGAAAATGTTTATTAGCTTAGAGTGTTGAGTTGCTATGCACTTGGAATTTTTCTCTGAAAAATGACACATGAAAGCAATACACTTGAACTGTTCTACCAGTCTTCCAATGGCTAGAACCAGCATGCATTGTAATGGAAAGGAAAAAGAGCCTTTCATTGTGCTATTTATTTCTTTAAAGGAACATGTTTTATACCTGTAAAAGAAACCTATAAAGTCTTATGAGCTGCTGCTATGTAATCTCTAAAATACACTATGTAATCTCATCTAAAATGCACTGTTTTGCAGATGTTGATGAATGTGAAAAAAATCCTTGTGTTGGTGGAGAATGTATTAATAACCAAGGCTCATACACCTGCCACTGCCGAGCTGGCTATCAGAGCACACTCACCAGGACGGAGTGCCGAGGTACAGTGCCCTCACAGAATATGAGCCATCTGTGCCTAATGAGCTCTTTGCTTTGAAGGAGCTCAATGAAATTTAAATAACCCTTGCCAGAGAGGCAAATCCAGCTCCATTGCTTTTTGCACTTTCTTCCAGGAATTTCAAATATGGTACTTTCAGTCTGAGGACAGGACCATAAAGTCCAAATTCAAATTATTTTAAAAGATAACTTCTCTGACTGGAGAAAAATCTTATTTTCACTTCTTTTTTTGTTTCCTCACTGCTGTCTGTTAGTTTTTCGTTTGGAAGCTGGGGAATGGGACTATTCTTTGTGTCACAGAAAGTGAGGAAATATTCAGGTGAAATTATGCAGGCACCTCAGTTTTTAGCGGGACGGTCTGAAGGATAAAGGAGTTACCTATAAGTCCTTGCTGTATATTAGTACACTTAGCAGGGTTTCAGGTCCCACCTCAGACCTTTGGAATCAGAATCAGCAATTTAATAAGATTCCCTCATGATCTACATGTATATTAAGGTTTGAGAGGCATTGCTATAAATGTTTTCTCATAAAAATCTGCCTTCAGGTTTATTTATTAATTAATTGTTAAGCCATTCAATATGGCTTCTATTAAATGACATTTATGTACTAAATTTCTGAGGTAGAAATAAATAAGATATACTGCCCTCCCTCAGAGGATTCAGATCTTTATCTCTGTCTATAAATTTGGCACAAACTGAACTGTCATTAATCCAGTAAAACCAGATAAGATAAGCAAAAACTGTTAAAATCAAATATGATGAGAAGTAAGGAGTTGTATATCACTAGAAAAATTGGAAGCCATTAATAAGATGTAATTTTGTTTGCCTCTCCTAGCAAAAGCCCTTTATGTGCATTGGCGACACACAGAGGTTTTCATTTTTATCAGCAAAATGGTCTCACAATCCTTTGAATTTTCCTCCGACTTAGAGATTTATTATCATCAGTATTTTTTAAATATACTATATTGAAATGGCAACTTTGAGTAGAAAAAACTATAAGGCAGCATTTCAACATGCTGATAATTCTATTAATGGCCTACTACAGAATTTTAAATCAGATGGGCTAAGTATTTAACTGAGTTGAGAACCTTCTTAATATTGCAACTATTGGTTCAAATAATTAGCAGTACTAAGCATTTTAAATAATAAAGAATAAAATGAAACCACTGACCAGAGGCTACACTGTTAAATAAGCAAAGATAAATGATTATTGAGTAGCCTAAATGGGAATGAGGACCAGATAGTGTAAATGCATGTGATTGTCATCAGTCTGGGATTTAAGGTACTGGAGACTAAAGATGACTTGCAGGCTACCAGCTTTGTCCTCTTAAAGAGTTAGTACTAAGCCATGTGCAGTGGTACATGCCTATGTTCCTAGCAACTGGGAAGTTTGAGATAGGAGGGTTACAAGTTCAAGGCCAGCCTCAACAACTTATTGAGACCCTGTCTCAAAATAAAAAACATGAGAAGAACTGGGGATGCAGTTTAGTGGTAATGCACCCCTTGGTTCAATTCCCAGTACAAAAAAAAAAAAAGGGCTAAGTTTATCCTGAATAGAAGTTGAGGACACATTCCTGTTATTTGGTAGATGAAAGTCACTGCAGAAGGGTCCAAAAGGCTGTGTACTTAGCAGAGAAAAAGTACATGAGGGAGTGGGTAGAAGGGGACAGAAGAGATAGAAACACAGTTGAGATATTTGAATGACAAGCATTTCATTTGTTTTATAAGGCAGTGGAGCCCCATAGCATTCTCAAGTTGGTGAGGAGGGAAAAAGATGAACTCTTTTTCCTGTTTATGTTAACCTTTGCCTCAAAAAAATTACAGAATCCTTTAAAAAAAAGTCTGTACAAGAATATATGGCTTTTACTACTTTTTGGAGCGTGGAGCAAGTCAGATTTTAGCAAGGATTAAGAAATAAAGGAGAGAGAAAAGATCGTGGGTTGTTGGCACAAAGATCAGACAGAAGAAAAGCCCAGACTGCCATAGCTAGTCCAATGACTTGTGTGGAAACCACTGCAGGATCTGCCCAGAAAGAAAGTGCGTCTGAAGGTCAACCACAAGACACCGTGCAGACAGAATAACCCAGACGCCATAAATGCACATTCTTGATGTCCAGGGGATATGTGGGGCACTTGTTCTTAACTCTGCACAGATAGGTCTGCTCCCATTCAGATCTGCACAGTTTCCTATTTGCTGAGAATGAGCCCTGAAAACAGCTGTATGCTGGGTAGACAAGACAGTCTGTGATCATCCTCTTTGATATTCAGCCAATTTGTAGCCTCTACAAATAGAGGAAAGCAGATACCCCAGGGCACCATATTGTTCACTTTGGGTGGGTTGTCAACCTTTAAGTGAGAGATCAGACACAGGTTATTTGAGTTATTGTCATTTTTAAAACTTTCATATCAAGCCCTATAGTTTACTTTGGCATAATATTAAGCACAATAGAAAAAAGGAGAAATACACCCAAAGTACCAATATTTTATTTGGTAGATAGAGTACTCATAAAATTATTTTTAAAAAAAAGACTAAGAATAAATGATCAATAACACTGTTCTTGGACCAGAACTGCCATAAGGAAGATACATAGATATCTCACAGTCACATGATTGATGGTATTCAGGGGGAATTAAGTAGGTTTTTTAAAATAGCATTTCTGTCTTCTGTTCTGGTATAGCTGTAATATCTGCCCTTTCAATCATGTATTTAACAACACCAGCCAAAGTTCAATAAATACACACACACACACACACACACACACACATACATATGCAGACACACACATACACACACACTCAGTAAACTAGCTAGGAAAATGGTAAAGAATCTATTTTGTTTGCGGAATTGATTTAAATAGTCTTAATACAAAGGAAGTTAGATTGAATGTGCTTGTATAGGTGTATATATTTTTCTGTCAGGTGTCTACTAATAATCCTAAACATTGAGTTATTTGGTGCCCAATGTATGTTGAAGAGTATTACTGAGTAATTGAAACCCAAAGCTAAGGCCGTGAGTTTTGAAATGGAGGGAGGAAAAAATAATCTTAAATCCCCTAACTAAAGCTGTTTCTTCCTTTTCTTACTGGACTTTAGACATTGATGAATGTTTACAGAATGGCCGGATCTGCAATAATGGACGTTGCATCAACACAGATGGCAGTTTCCATTGTGTGTGTAATGCAGGCTTCCATGTTACCCGAGATGGGAAAAACTGTGAAGGTAATAAACAGTGTGATAAGCCCATTTCTCTTCTTCCCTCATAGTCTTGAGATCAGGAGTCTCAAGGCAAATATGTCAAATGTATTTCACATATTGTTATCTGAGAAGGAAGACTACATTTCCATAATATTCCTCTCTATAACTGACACTCATATGAGTCAAATAACATTCTAATACACTGAGAGCTTGCTTCTGAAAAAAATCACTAGTGATGAGGAAACTTTTATAGCATAAATCATTGCTTTCTAATTTTATCCAATTGGACCATATATATTATGGAATTCTTTTATGAAAAAATTGGAGACACCTAAGCCCATATATTCTCTAGTAGCTTGTAATCCTTTTGTTTGAAGTGCCTGCCTAATAATCAAATACTACTAGTCAGTGTCTCAAAATGTCAGATTTGTTTAAGGCTGACTGCTGAGCACCAGCCTTTTCTGTTGCCTCTTGCATTTATCACCTCATTTTGAAATGGGATACTTCCAAAGTTTTGTTTTTGCTCTTGACAGTCTCCCCTTGATTAGAAAATATGACTATTATTGATGGGTTTTCACCTTGCAGACCTTTAGCAAAAAGTAAAGAATGCTGTTTATCCTGTTTCCTAATGTCTTTGGGAAGGTCCCAAGAATCTATTCATACATTAAAAGAATTTCAGAATTGTTCTTAGAAACATTTTTGGCAAAATACTATCTCAGTGATTCAATTCAGAGACATAATGCCAAAATTCCTGGTTGGAATAGAATCCTGTTGAAAGAAAGAGAGAGAGAAAGGGGAGTGGGAGAGAGAAAGAGAGAAAGGGGAAAAGGATAATAAATTACTCTGGTCTGACTAAAGCTTGTAAGTGAAGACATATCATGTCTACAGGAGCAAGTGCCTCCCAAGATAGCTGTAATATTACATAAAATAGCATGTCGATGATTTTAAATAAAATTCCCCATAATCAAGGGATCCTAAAGGCTAGCTGGCTAAACTATATTCTATAGTTGAGTTTTGCATTTTAAAAAATCCATTTTTCCTACTCTTATTTAAAATTTCTTCACGCTATAAGCTGTCTTCTGCTTTCCACTTTTTAAAGAATCAAGATGTAGCCTAAATACATTTCAAATTCCTCCTAGTCTTAGCTTTGAAGTAATATTCTGTATTAAAGTAATGTGATCCTGTGAAATAAATATATTCACCAGACTGTAAGACTTTTACTAAAACTTTGTGTGTGTACATATATGTACACATATAAATCTAGTTGTTTGCACATATGTCAAAGCTTGAGAACTTGAGATACATATTTTATGTGATCTCTCTTTATGTGATGTAATTTGGATGAAAACCTTGAACATTATAATAACAAAGAAAGAGATATAAGAATAAATATTTTGTACATGCCAAAAAGAAAGAAAGGTGAAGAAATAAAATTATATTCATGCAGGTTGGTTTCCTTTTGTAAGCTTACTCTTTGGGGACCCCAGGACACTCTATGTGTTTATTTTTCAGATATGGATGAGTGCAGCATACGGAACATGTGTCTTAACGGGATGTGTATCAATGAAGATGGCAGTTTCAAATGCATTTGCAAACCTGGATTCCAGCTGGCATCAGATGGGCGTTACTGCAAAGGTATATGCTACAAAGCTCAACCCGCATTCTCTGCCTTCTTTTGCTCCACTTTTCCATGTGGATTCTCCCCACATAAAGCATCCCTTATTCTGGATTAGGCAACATAGCTCAAATTCCTTCTGAAGTCCAGCTATCCAGATAGTGACAGTTTATGACCAGAAGGCCATTCTTATTTCACAAAAGGTATTTGAGTCCTTTCAAAGGATCCTAAAAGGCTTCAGTGTAGCAAATACATAAGCTAAACTGCCGACTGGTTTTCATATAGATTTGGTTATCTTTCTAAATAAGTGGAGTTCTGCCTTTTCTTTCCAGCTGGGGGATCAGAGCATTTAGACTTCTTGATGGTCGTCTTTTCCACCTCTTACATCTTCACGTGGACAAAACATTGTAGATTCTCATTTGCAGTGATGAGATATCAACTTCAGTATCAACTTCCCTGAGATACTAAAGAAACAAGAAACTTTTTTGTGGTCAATATATTTAAGTTTTATCAAGTTATATAAGCAAAAAGGAAAACAGGATTAAGCAGAAGACAGAAACAAACCAGGAGCCATTGTTTAGCTTGATGACTTTTGAAATCATCTCTTTGCTTCAAGTACTGAAGCAGAAATTAAGAGGAATTTTTTTTTGTTCTGTTGAGGTCAGGATCCTAAGAAGAGTCATCAGAGATAAATTCATGCTTAGTCTTCTGCCTTACATAGTCAGGGATGAGTGATACCTGCAGTTGGTTCTGAGATCTGAACTAGAACCAGACTTTTCAAAGAACCTTAAACTCAAAATAGGTCCATAAAATCTGCTAAAATGGTGTACTCAGAGCCACTCTCCAGTTCTGGTTGCAGAAGTGTAGCTCATCCAGCTGCTTAAGGTGGAGAAAGCAAGAAAAAGCCATGTGAGGCCTCCTCTCTGAGTGTCCCTAGTAGACAGTTTGGTAAAGGTGTTATGGAAGAAAGCTTTGTATGTGTTCAGTCCTTGGAAAGATGTGCTTTTTCTTGGGGCTTAAAAGAGCTTCTAGGCCTTGGTTGTTTACCTACATTCTCTATGACCTCACATGGGTGGCTCTTAATATTGTGAAAATCTGTCTTCACAGCAAGAGAAAACAGTTGAATTTTTCAAATTTGAGGGAGGAAAATGGTTTCTGTCATTTTAAGCTCCGTGCTGGGCGGAACTTACATGGGAAGACAGGATTAGTACATGGAAATATTCTACAATGTAAGACAGTACAAAACAAAGTGTCAAATTGTGCAAATTAAGTGCTGTACAAGTAAAAAAAGAAGAAGAAGAAAGAAAGAAAGAAGGAAGGAAGGAAGGAAGGAAGGAAGGAAGGAAGGAAGGAAGGAAGGAAGGAAGAAAGAAAGAAAGGGCAAGGGAATGATTGCTGGAATATTTGGAATTAAGCTTCCAAACAAAATAACGGAAGGAAATGTGAAAGCCCCTTTGTGAGCAGGACTTCTGTGAGAATACTTACTCTCCTGCCAATATGCAGCACACACTAAGGTTCGCTTTTAGTGCCTCAGGGCTGCTGGTGACCCAGGCAGCAGTTCCCCAGCATTAAGTGTGACCAATGCATAATGCTATTTCAGAAGACATTATGACCTCATAGATGGAACTGGTTTTGCAACCATTTGCAACCATTGAAATAATATCTTCTCAATAAAGGGATTGTTCCATTCAAAGCATTGATGATTCCAATGGTTTGCTTTGACTTTAGCATTCTGGCTTTAAGAGAGAGAAAGAGAGAGAGCATGCAAGCAAGCAAGCTTGAGCTCCAAAGCTCCATGTTATTGCCCTTGTTCTTCTTTTTTTCTAGTGTATAGAATGTAGAACATACACACACAGTAATAAGACTAACAGAACAAGAAAAGAAAGAATTCTCTTAAATTCTGACTTTTCCCTTTTTTATTCTTTTCTCTAAGACTTTCTCTTAGTGTTAAATATACACTTACTTCTGAGCCCCACAAAGAAGTGACTGTTTAAGGCTGATCAACAATGCTCATTTAATCTCAACAGTGAACTACTCCAATGAACAGCATGGCCTCTCTGATCACTTTCTAAAAGTTGAGGCTGCCAACTCTGAGTGACCTTCCTCTGGATCTCTGTGACATCTTTGTCTCCATTAAAAAGCCCTTGTGTTACTTTTCAGACTGTAGTCTTCACTGTTTTACTGTAGATTTCAACTTGAACAAAAAGATGACTGAAATAACTGAACCAATTTGAGTTCATGTATTTAAATATAACCACTGTTTTAAATACAATCTGTACATGGAATCTTGGACCATCTGAATATATTTTGTGCCAAACAACACAAGCTAAGTAAAACACAGAGGTGTTTCACTCTCAATTTGCCTTTTTAAGGTCAGAAAAAAGGAAATAGTCAGATATACTAGTTGTATATTGTAAAAGGAGTCATTATAAAATGACTTTCTTCTAAGCATCCTGTGTTGTCCAACACACAATTTTAATACCTTTTCCTGTTTCCCTATATTAAAGGAGGAGAAATGTCTACTATTACTATTGTGCATCCAATAAAGTCTTTTAACAGACCCCTCTAAGTATATACATATGATAGTACAAAATAAGGAAGACTTTTCTTTGCTGGCTTCTAGTTACTTACAGTGCTGTTATTGGTCCAGAGTCATCATCAAAATCATCTAAGTTCATTTTCTGTTCTTTTCTATGTTGTTCCTTTAGGGCTTCAGTTGCTCTCTTTTAACACTTTGTCCCAGAGGGCTAAGGCAAGGGTAGTAGATCAGAGACACAGCCCGGGTGTTGAATGCCAAAAGGAAAAGCTTCCTGCCCAGGGCAGAGATGCAGTTTGTTATCAAGCCAGATTTCTGGCACAGCTACCATGGGATGCATTACACAAAGCCCTTTGTCTTTCAGCAGTCATTTTTCTTCTTCCTCCAATTCTGTTTTGGCCTTTGTGATTTTTATTTTGGACTTAAAAAAAATCTCTTGGGAGAATATTTATATGGAAGCTTTTTATGGAAAAGAAATAATTTTAACAATTTTTCTTGTTTTGTTTCTGTTCTTTTAAAGGAAACTGAGAATACATCTCATTAAGCTTGTATTGTTGATGCTGAATGATTTTCCATCGTACCCATTTTCAAGTGTTACAATGATAAACGATATGGTTTAGATAATAGTCACTTCATTTTTAATCAATGTCTCTTCCCACTGCAGATATTAACGAGTGTGAAACACCTGGGATCTGCATGAATGGGCGCTGCGTGAACACTGATGGCTCCTACAGATGTGAATGCTTCCCTGGACTGGCTGTGGGTCTGGATGGACGTGTGTGTGTTGGTAAGTAAAAGCAATGGCTTGATTTATGATAGAGAGGCACCTTCCATCCATCAACAAAGCCAACCAATAACAAATGCCCTTTACCATAGTGGGTAGGATATAATGGATAGTTGCAGAGCCAGTAAACCAACAGGGTCAGGTCTCTTCTTGCATAATTGTATACTAATTTAAAGAATAGAAAGATGAGCTGAAATAAAGGGAAAGCCAAGGGACCCTAACCTCTCCTTCTTTCTTTCATTCTCTAAATACACAGCTAACCTCAATTTTCTCCAACTTCCTTTTGTAGATATTTTGTAGATATGCTCACTCTCTCATGGTCAACATCTTAATAATGAATTAAATGACCAAGAAAAGTATAGAATGTAAAGAATATGGATAATTGTGAAACATGTAGGATAATAGTTTTGTGTGACTTCATAAGAAGTTTGAGCCTGTATAAGAAGATTGAGAAATAGATACGAATTTTATCCAAATTATTTTTAAGAAAGGTACTCAGAAAACCCTTTGAATTGGGAAAGGATTGGGCACAGCCAGACACTCCTTCCTTGGTGGTGAAAATAACATGGCTTAGTTGACCAACTTCTGCAGATTTATATAATGAACCTTTTATAGATCAAACTTTCTCCTTTTTGGAAAGTACACCTAATTCAGATGTTCAATAATTGCATGTTTACTTTGGGGTAGGATGCCTTTCTAATAAAGGTCTTATTTATCATGGTGTGAATTCAACATTCTTTCATCGTTCATTAAGTGCCTGCTCAGTGCATGCCTAGGGAAGACAAAAATGAATGAGACATAATCCCAGCACTTAAAGGCCTCGCAGTTTGGTAAACCATGGTAATCCCCAAGAAACTGTCAGAGTCTAGCCATTGGTTTCCACTTTTGGGGAGTTAAATGTGTTTTGTTGTTGTTTGTTTGTTTTGACTCCTAGTACCAGAGGCATTCTCAGTGAGTTAGAACTATGCATATATAAAGGCAGCTTCAACTCTGACTTGGGGGAGGGATCTCATGTGTTGAAAGTGACAGTATGATGATAGGTATTTCTTCCTGTTTAGACACACACATGCGGAGCACATGCTACGGAGGATACAAGCGGGGCCAGTGTGTCAAGCCTTTGTTTGGTGCTGTTACTAAATCTGAATGCTGTTGTGCCAACACTGAGTATGCCTTTGGGGAGCCCTGCCAGCCATGTCCTGCCCAGAATTCAGGTATGTGGTATGGTCATGGAGGGGTCCTCACACTTCTAGCCTTCTGGCTCCATCGGTGATCTTTGCATTTATGGAAGAGACATGGAATGATTACATTATGCTTTCCAGGTACACCATGGACCTTGCTGGGGCCTTGGCAAGGTCTAGCCAGTGTCTCGTTACATTTGACTCACCCTCTCCTCACAATCATTTGTAGTAGGCAGTATGTTTATGCCTCTGGTGTGAACTCTGCCACCTCAATAATAGTCATGGTCTGTAGAAAACATGCAAGTTCATGATGTTTGCATTTTGCAGGAGCTAACTATTATAAAAGCAGAATTTTATATGGTGTGAAAGTAAATAATTTTCAGACTACCTGAATATTTCCAGCAGTTTCCCAGAAGGCCATTTGTGAATTTTGTTCACATCCCATTTGTTGATTTTGGTGTGCTTTTCTTAAATGATTTTATTCAACCTAGGGGAAAAAGTATTTTCCTGGTGGCATGACACAGTAAAAAGAGAACTGGATGGTGAGTCAGAATTATGCTCTCTGTTCACAGGCAGACAAATTACTTAATTGGGTGTTTAGTTATTTGTACATTTTTTCTCATTTAAGGATTTGAAATAACTTACATTAACAAATATGATTATAAAATAGAACAATAAGGAAAATGGATTTTTGGTCTTCTAGAAAATGAGTTGCCTTAGATAACACAGAAGGTTCTATGCAGTTGCAAATGATTTGTAAAGCAAAAATAGTTTATTGAAATTAAAATAATAGACTATCAATATTTGAACATGATTTTAAGGTAGTTTAGCAGATGACTTCTAAAGTCCTAAAATAAAGTTAGGCCTAATATTGAAAATACTTTGTTCCAGTGGGTCAGTTTACATATGAGATTCAGTCTGTTCATTTCTGCAATAAATAAAATGAATTAAAGATTAACCCATAATTTTTAAAGATATGTTATTTTTTAAAATGTTAATCTTTGAAGCTAGAGAGTTAGAAATTAAAATATACTATGAGACACTAAATATGAAGGGAAGACTGTAAATAAAATGAGGAATGTCAATTGAAAGAAAGCCTTATTTTAGCTTTTTACTTCACTAAGTGAATAAGATGCAAATTATCATTTATATATGATCAACAATGAACTAACTACATGTTTAATATACTCCAATTATACATAAATATCATTCCTTCAAACCAAAATACTTTGATGCAACTTTATAGTTGTGTGTTATTAATACCATCCTTTGCCTGTTAACTATTCAAATGCTTTTCTTACATACTGTAAATTTATATGATAGATGAGTGTCATGAAAGCTGACCCACACAGTGTAGGTGATTTGTTCATGTTGATTTGTTCATGTTGAGGTCCAAGACTTAGAATCCAGGGAACTTGATGCATACAGTTTTTTGCTTTGACATTTTCCTCTGGACCAAATGCCTCTCCAAAATAAAGTCTTATGATACATAGGGGAATGGTGAGGGTTTAGAAAAACGATGACCAAAAGAGACTTGATTTCTCTAAGCAGTAAAGCTTGAAGAGAAGTAAACTTGAGGCCCAGGTCTGCTAACTTCTGATTTTTATTTGAATGAATTTGCAAAGAAAAGGTCCATTTGTGGAAGTGGTTTCGTTTAGTTTGATTTCTCTACCTCTTTGGTGGATGAAAATTCCAAACCATGAAAGATCCAAACATGAGATAATCCATCATTTCAGGAGAGAGAGGGGGAATTTTAAAAAAATTTATTGATACAATATAATTATACATATTAGTGGTATTCATTGTTATATATTTATACACACGCAAAATAATTGAGCTAAATTGAAAAAAAAGGTTTTTTCATATTTTTATTGGTGTGTTATAGTTATACATAATGGTGGGATTCATTGTTCCATATTTATGCATGCATATAACAATATAATTTGGCCACTATCATTTCCCAGTATTTCCTCTTTCTCTCCTCTCCTTCCTTCTTTCCTCTACTCTACTAATCTCCTTTCCATTTTCATGAGATCTTGGGAGATTTTTAAAGGTACTAAAAATATCCACAAAAAAAATGTCTTTAATCCATTGAATGAGAAATTGTAACTGTGCAACCTCTAAAGTTATCAGTGAGTGGAGCAAGCTACATATGAAGCTATTTCTCACTGACTAGAGAAGCTGATTTACATGGCTCAGCAGGCCCTCTTACTTCCTCAGCCTTCTGACAGTGGTGTTTACTCCTCACAGAAACTAGTCATTTAAGCCTGCCTGAGTACATTTCTGAGAATTTTCCTGTGTGACCCCAATACTGCCGTCTCCATGATGCTACCTTGAGGTAGCTCAGCAACATCTACTACATCAGTGTTTGAGTTACATGTTATCTCATTAGATTTACAGACCTGTCATATGAAATGGATATCATTAGCCCCAATTTGCAGAAAAGGAAACTATCAGAGGGAAAGTATTTGCTACCCAGCAATAAGCACAGTCTTCAACATTCAAACCCATGATGATCTGAATTCACCTCAGAGTCTAGTGCCAGATCCTGCTCAAATGAAAAACAATGGAGATGATACTTTGATTCCATTTAGGCCAAGCATCAGCTAATCTAAATTACCTGTAAAAGTGCTTTTTACAAAACTGGTATGCTCTTGTTTTGTCTTATTGTTTTAATTAATTGCTTATGTGAAAGAATAAAAAGGACTTTTTTTTCTCTTTTTCTCTGGCTTTCCAATAAAGTGGTACCCACCTTTCCATTTGTGCCTTTGTTGGCCCCTTTTATGATGATTTTAAAAAAGAAAGAATTTTACTTTTTTTTGTCATATTAACATTTGTTAGGTGACACACTTCTGAAGGATTCATCCTTAAACTTATGTTTGTAGAACTCATTTGTATCTGCTGTCATTAAAATGCAAATCTCTAGCCTATGGAAATACAAGAACTATTTGCTTTAGCAGTGAGGTTCAGCCAACCTCTGAAAAAGAGGCCCATTCCTAATATCCAGTTGTCTTTCCACTTAAGCACTAGAGATAGTGGCTGCCAAAAATCATGGGCAACTGAGGGACATGTTACTTTCCTTTCCTTGCATAAAATATGACTCTAGTTATTTCTCCATTCACTCTTATGTTCATTGAAATATTATTGGGACTATTTGTAAAACACTGTATATTTTTAGTAAACTTTCTACATATCAAAATTTTTTTAAAAAAGATCTCACATTTTGATACTTAGCAATGCTTTCCCTTTGAATTTATCTTAGAATTTATCTACTATCCTGATGAATATTACCTTTTAAAATACAATTTGAACACACACAAGAGTAGACACCTTGTTGCTGTTCTTCTGAGGGGAGGCTAGAGAATTTGCAGAGAAAAGTGAAAAAAAAATATTAAGAACTTGATTGTACTGAAAAAAGAGCTTGCACTCAGAAAAAAATTATTCCCAAGATGGTGGGAGAAAGTTTTATTAACAGTTAAGAAACCACATTTTAACAGGCACATTTCACTGTAAAGTGTAAAGTGTTCCCTGGTGAACCAAATCAAGTTATGGGAAAAAATGCCTTTTCCAAAAATGCTTTGCACAAGGAATTGCTATAACTTGCCTATATCCTTCAAAGTCGATTTCCTCGGTGATGCGGATCCTTTAAAAAAGAGCCTGGTATAAAGGTGACTCCCTCAAGAGATGCCTCCTTTCCCTTTACCACGTTATTTTGGTTCTGCTCACTTTGGAAGAAATGATGTGTGCAAAGCCAAGGGCAGGATTGACCTGTTCTGCAAACAAGGGAATCATTTACTATCTGTTAATTTATTGCAGCGGAATATCAGGCACTCTGCAGCAGTGGGCCAGGAATGACGTCAGCAGGCAGTGGTAAGGATTCGTTTCAAATTTACTACCTTAAGCATGTGCTGAGACAGCATCTGGCCTTCCTGTGGGTTTCCAGTTGGTCCCTTGACACTAGTCTGGCCTGGCTCCTCTCTGGCCATCATTGCATGATGTACCTGGGATGCCTAGAAGTCCCCATGGCAGAGCCACTATGCCCGCCCAAAGTTTCCTGGGATTTCAGGTTGTGGGTTGCTCGCTGAAGGGGCTGGGATCTCTCCCAGGGCACTTGATCAGGGAACATAGGATGAGATGAAATGATTGTGGTTGTTCTTTCTTGAAAAGAGGCAGCCTGGACCTTCTTTAGATTTTCCTCCATCAAGTATACCTCAGGATTATGTGCCTTCTTATCTCTCAAGGACTTGGTCATTATAAGGTGACAATAAGGAGCCATCTTATATGTCGTAGCAAGCAGTGACAGCAACCAAGTTGGAAGAAAATAAGATGTTTGTGTAGGAGTTAGAACTAGAGAAATGTTGGGACCATAAAAAAATTTAAAGAAAAATGAAAAAACTAGAATATGTAAAAAGAGGTGACAAGAAAGAAGAAGAGATTGGCTTACTAATATTAAACTAAATGATTTGATTAAGAGAGTTCTAGTGGACTGGTAGAATTAATTGTCAATTCATTCAATATGTATGGATGAAGACAAGGAGTGGGTATTTGAAGGAGAAAAGAGGAGAAATTAGGAAATTTATAACAAATTCGGAGCTAGTGAGTAGACAGTAACAAGTTGTAATTGGAACTTGGAGAAGGAAAAAAGAATCAACCCTAATTTTTAAAAGGTTCCAGCAACAGGATTTGAGGCTACCCATGCACTGATGGTCAGTCTGCATCTCCTTGACTCCTAGAGCTCTGTTTAGTCTTTGAGAGCTCAGAAGAGAGAGGACCCAGCTCATGAGGGCAGGAAAGTGAAGGCTTTTGGTTGAGCTGGCTTTTGATAAAAGAAGAGACCTGCTCCAGGCATTACCTCCACAGAGTGAAGAGGGCATTGTGTATTCACAGAGGAGTGAGAAGTTTGGAACAAATAAACAAAGGCTTCATATTTCAATTTAATCTTGAGGATATTATTGAACCCACAAAAGTTTGAGCCAAGGGTATGACATGATCATCGTGCTTTTAGGATGCTCAGAATGGTGCAGTGTGGAAGGAAAATGAAAGAGGGAAGGGCTGGGGGCCAGGAAACCAGGGCTAGGGACTTGAGCTCTGTAGTGGATCTACTTTTCCATCTTGGTGCTTGAACCAGGAGAAGTCCAGGATGTCTCTTTCAGCTTGATTCAGGATTGGTAATCTTGAAGTTCTAGCTCAGATGTGGGTTTCTTCTCAGGGACTGGTGGAAGGAAGACTTGACTTAGGAATATCTTAAAATGAGAAAAAGGGAATGAGCTTTCCTCTTCTAAGTGAACCCTTCAACCCTCCTTAAATTCCAAATCTATTACATTTATTGTGCTGTTATTTTTTAACAGTTAATTTGATGTTTATTTTAGAATGTCATTGATTTTGAATTTTTTGGTGGTGCAGATATAAATGAATGTGCATTAGATCCTGATATTTGCCCAAATGGAATTTGTGAAAATCTCCGTGGGTCCTACAAGTGTATATGCAATTCGGGATATGAAGTGGATATAACTGGAAAAAACTGTGTTGGTAAGAAGTTCCACCTGTTTTCTTTTTTAAAAAAAGTATTTAAGTATTAGAAATGCAAATCAGATCCACATCATTGATTAATGGTTCAGGGTTTTTTTTAAGAGAGAAAGAGAGAATTTTTTGATATTTATTTTTTTAGTTCTCGGCGGACACAACATCTTTGTTTGTATGTGGTGCTGAGGATCGAACCCGGGCTGCACGCATGCCAGGCGAGCACGCTACCCTTGAGCCACATCCCCAGCCCCATCCACCTATTTTCTAAGACACTTCATGTATAATGTATCCCTTCTTTCATTGCTTGGAGGAAACTGCTTCTGATTAGCTTAAAGGACTTAGCAGATGAATTCTTTACACTTCGTGTGTCAGCACTGCATGTACATGTCTTAATAGCAAACATTCACATAATTGAATCTTGATAGTTTATTAATAGCCATGTATCAGATTCACTCCATAAAAGAAGCTTCCATAAAAGGAGCTTCTTAGATATTGTAAAAATGCAAAGATTTTAAGCCATTCTCATATGGCTACAAAGTCATCACTACTTTCAATAAGAGAGAAACAGCTCTTCCAACCACTTATTGGATTTAATCAGAATACAGCTTATTTTCGGTAATAACTACTGTTTCCTAAGTTGAGCAACACTAGCTTTGATGCTCTAGCAGTCTTTATTTATTTGTTTTATTATTTTTTTAAATACACGACAACAGTAGAATGCATTACAATCCTTATTACACATATAGAGCACAACTTTTCATATCTCTGTATATAAAGTATATTCACGTCAATTTATGCCATTATACGTGTACTTTTTTGCATTACAATTCTTAATACACATATAAACCACAATTTTTCATATCTCTGTTTATATATAAGGTATGTTGACAACCAATTCAGGTCTTCATACATGTACTTTGTATAATAATGATGACAGTCTTTAATGAAGTTACCAGCCAGTAACTAAATGAATCAGTTGGTTGGGAAGAAAATGTTCAACATGGGTCAGTTTCTTCCTAGACCAGTATTTTGTGAAATGCATTGTCCATTCTGTAGTGGAGTGACATATACCTCAGGTTTTCTGAAGCTGAGCTTCCAAAGCTAACATACTCATTTTTATAGAATATGCCAGACTGTGCCAAAACTAAAATGTAAGATGGTACATCTTTTTGATTGGGAGACCAAACATATTTTACATATGAGCAAACATATGTTATGGAATAGGACAAAAATTAATATACTTTAAGATGAACTAGGGGACCTCAGATATATTTTTTACTGCATGATGTACCTGGGATGCCTAGAAGACCCCATGGAAGAGGCACTATGGCCCACCAGGTGGGTCCTGGGATGAAAAAACTGTATTGATAAGAAGTTACATTTTTTTTCTAAGACATTTCTAGCTGATGATGTAATCAGACCCTCTCAATGCATAAAAAAATTTCTTATGAATGTTCTAGCCCATTTCATAGGCTATCTGGAATAATTTAGCTCAAAGGGATATTACAAACTGCATAATTTCTACATTCCCTATATAGTAATTCATATGTTAAATCTTGTTTTTTCTTCAGATAGTCATATTATTCATCAGGAAACAAGGAGTTTTCCTCAGCCCTCTGAATTGCAAGTCTGAATTCCCATGACAATTATAAACACTACAAATTGCTTCATACTTTATAAACATAACTGGAGACAATTTAAATTATTTTAAGGAAGAAATGCCCATCCCAGAACTAATGCATATCAAAGATGGACCACACTTTCTAAATATTTATCTAGTTTCTTAACACAATAAAATTGGTTCTGAGTCTGACACAATGAAGCAATTATACAAAGCAATGATAAATGATTTCCAGCAAACCCAGGTTTTCTTCATACTGAAGAAAGTGAATTAAACATTGTCTAGTGACCTAAGGCTTTATAGATATCTGGTTTTGATAACCAGGTCAAGCTTCTATTTTCCTAAAATTACCTCATTTTGTGAAAACCAATGGTACAGGAGTTTTACCTGTTTTGGTGTAATTAATCATGCCATTTTAAAAGATCTAATCTAAAAGAGCAAAGAAGTTGCTTTCAAGAGATGGGCTCTTTCAAATGTTCATTTTCATTGATTTTCCAGATATTAACGAATGTGTGCTGAACAGCCTACTCTGTGACAACGGACAGTGTAGAAACACTCCTGGAAGTTTTGTCTGTACCTGCCCCAAGGGATTTATATATAAACCTGACCTGAAAACCTGTGAAGGTAAACCATATGTTTTATTCTTATAATATGTACTTTGCTTTCTTTTGGAATGTCGTTGGAAAATCACAAGAATAAATTAGAGTCACTTCTATTTTAGACAATCATGCCCATTTTTAATTGAAGTCCTGTGGCTCTAAATGGCACTTGTACATACTTTGCAAGCCACTGATGGTATTTGTCTTCAATTGGTGTATTATTTGCCATTTAAATGCCACTGTGTTCATTTTGCCTGGCATGTTATTTGCTATCACTTAATAAATGAAGACAATATTATACATGTACCATTTGAATTCATAATTTGGGATCACATGTACCTTTGTTCCACATTTTCTGAATTAAAAGATTCAGCCAATTACTAGATTCCATACCAAACAGAAATATCAGTTCATATTTTGGCATTTCATCTAGTAGAGAAAAACTATCCAGTCCAAGTTTTGCTATCTGATGAAGAGTGTGTGGTAGCAATCAGGCCAAAAGCGAAATACTTCTTTATGCCCAAGACTAGCTTTTAGCAGTAATGTAGACCTGTTTTTGTTTCAGACATTGATGAATGTGAATCAAGTCCTTGCATTAATGGAGTCTGCAAGAACAGTCCTGGCTCTTTCATTTGTGAATGTTCTTCTGAAAGTACTTTGGATCCAACAAAAACCATCTGCATAGGTATTTATCTTTCTGAGAATGATTTTTTTATGTTTATTAGTGCTGCTATACTTAACATCAACTTTTGCTGAGAAGAGTTTAAGTGTGGGAGCAGCATTTAAAACCATCAGTATTCCTTGTTTTGTCATGCTATTCCTGCTATAAGTAAGTCCAATGTGCATGTTTGAATTTTGATATAGGTTCTACTAAATATCCATTAAATATTATCCTCCTCCCCTGCAGAAACCATCAAGGGCACTTGCTGGCAAACAGTCATCGATGGGCGGTGTGAGATCAACATCAATGGAGCCACCTTGAAGTCCCAGTGCTGCTCTTCCCTCGGTGCTGCCTGGGGGAGCCCGTGCACCATATGCCAAGTTGGTAAGAGATATGGTGCTGTTCCCCCCACCCTCATCCACTGGTTGATGTGCTTAGAAAGGGAAAGACAAGTATTTTATTTATTTAAGTTCACCTGGGAATTTTGAAGGATTTGATTCTGATGGCCTCAATGAAACATTCTTGAATAGGAAATCAGAGAAGTGTCAAGTACAATAATTTTATGTGATTTGGTTAATTTCTATCTCAAAATGATGATGGGGTTAGTTTGTGAGTCTTCCTTGAGGCACCAGTTCCTGGTAAGGGTCCTGAGCTTTTAGCAATTCCAGCTTTTCTTCCAAAACTCTAATTGTTATAAAGAAACCAACATTTATGACTAAGCTTTATAAGGGTTTCTGCTCAACTTCTAAATCTGTTGGGAAGCTGAGGTTTGAGAGTCTTGCTAATCGTTTGCTGATCCAATGTTTTAATATATCAGTGTGTGAATTTATGTGATGTGAATTCTGTGGGGCTTGAGACCTCCAAATTCTTGGCTTTCTGCCCCTTTTCATTTTGTAGTAGTCTGATTCCCATCTTCAGGATAATAGAAAGAAACTTGCACTGGGTTTCCTTCTTAACTGTCACCTTAGTGTGATGTAACTTTGTATCTTTTGAGATATCTTAGAGGAACTGAGCTTTATCATAGGAGACGTTTCATAATTGTTCTTCCTCACCTATGCAGTCTCAGAAACACTGTATCTCATCCTTATTCATAACATCTAATTCCTGTTCCAGGTCCTCTTTTGTGTTTGTTATAATACATCATAACTACAAAGTCTGGATATTGTCACCTTTCTTTCTCCCCCCCCCGCCCACAGATCCCATATGTGGTAAAGGCTTCTCAAGAATTAAAGGAACACAGTGTGAAGGTATTTCCGATTATTTATAAACCATACATTTCTGGGTGTGTGAAGAATGCTTGTGTTAACTTGTGCTTGTTAAAGAGGTCCTGTAACTTCACAGGGAGAAATACACATCAGAGGAAAAGAATGGCAAGAACTGCAGAGCAGAGCAGATGTTAAGTTCACAAGCATGTATGGTGCATTTCCCAGTGTCAGAGCACTATGGCCAAAGGTCAAGGGGGCTGAAAATGTTTAGGTTGACTAAGGTTTAGAGTGACTGCACTTTCAACATGCCATTTATCAGGAAGAGGAAAGCAGGAAATTTTTGATGAAGCCGTAAAATTTGTATTTCCTTGGCTCTCCCTGGGCCTTGTTTGTTTGTTTCGTGCTCATGGCTGACTTAGAGGGATGCACTCCCTTGCCTCTTTTTTGAGTCTGGGTGGATTCTCTCCAGTTTGCAGTGATTCTTTCTCATGGAGTCCCAGATAGATATAGGTCATGGTGACTAACACAATCTGACATGACACAGCAGCTGAAATATTTTAAAAACAGCAATTAGTCCCATATGTGGGATGAAATGAAGTTCTTTCCCTGTTAAAACAAAGAACACTACAACCCCCACCCAAGGTCTTGCTTTCCAAATGATGACTGAATCCTTTGGCCTTTTCCTGGTCCAGACCTGCTATAATAACTTATCTGAGCTCAACAGCACATTTTGGTATTTGAGTGGCCAGAATAACAACAACAAAACAAACAACTAAACAAAAAACAAAAAGGTATAGTCTGTCTGCTCCCCATTTTTCTCCACTCCAAGGAAAGATACAGAAATTTTTTCAACATTCCTGGCTTAGAAAGTTATTTCTTCAAAATAGGGACATAGTTTGTGTGTTTCTTAACTAATGTTCTCCTTTTTGGCACTGGCAAGTAAGTACCTTTCTTTGGACTAACTGGATGATGAATGTTTTTCCAAATTAAGTACAGTGAGCACACGGCTCCCATTAAGCAGACAAGGAAGGATTGGTCCACTTGAGAGAGATTGGGTGAGTGATGAATGGATGCACATGAGTGAGCACCTTTGGACTCTCCTTGATCCAGGCAGGGACCACCATGATATTGCCAGGATAGCATGAGACCACTGCTAGGTTAGAACTCGTTACACAATTTCTAGTGATTTAGCACTTATCAAAAGAGACTCCCGACTGACCCACATATCCCTCAGGATTATTTTCTGTGCTCACCTTCAGGCTGTTCTTTTCTTTGATAGCTTGAAATAGCAGGTTTCTAATTCTCTGTTTCCAGACACACATGCTAGGCAAGCACTCTACCGATGAGCCATAACCCCAGCCCTATAGAGAGAACTTTTAAGCTTTATGAGACACTTCATCTCATAAAGCTAATTATATGGCCCCTGGGAACCTTACCTGTCTATAGCTACTAGATCTGTCCCCAAGAACTCACACACCCACTTTCTGACTCAAAAGTTACCCTTGAGACTGATGGAGAATCTCTTATATTGTTAGTAATAGGGTGCTATTTAAATACCCTAGAAATTCTACGTGAACTGCTTGTATGGAAACTAGTTTTTTGAACTTATCAGCTTCAAAGTGGCCTTTTCTATTGTGAGAATAATTATGAGTGTATAAGTGGACTAAGGTAAAATTACCTTATACATGTATGTTAACTTCATGCTTTTTTTCCTTTTCTTTTTAGATATAGACGAATGTGAAGTGTTCCCAGGAGTGTGCAAAAATGGCCTGTGTGTCAACACCAGGGGATCGTTCAAGTGTCAGTGTCCCAATGGAATGACTTTGGATGCCACAGGAAGGATCTGCCTTGGTAAATACTGAGCTCGTTTTTCTAATAATCCTTTCTTAAATATTCAAAACTCTTAATAAGACACAGCTGAATATTTGGTTCTAAGCACCAAATTCAGACAGCAACATTAGGATCCATGGTAATTTCCTTGACAGATGGCCTTCCTAACTCAAGTTTTATGTTCCCCTTTACAAAAAGTATAGAGAAAGGATTATTGAGAAGAAACTTTAGGCCTTTGTATTATATAACTATTCCTTAAATCAGTCTTATCACAGCTATTATTCCAGAGTTCTGAGATCTGACCCCCTATGCCATGGAATATAGGATACCAGGTGAATGGTGACAAGAAGATAAACATTTGCACTTAATAGGAAACTATAACCAATGACTTCTAGACATATCCTGTCATTGGCCAGGAAGACAGGTCCTTACAGCAAATGCATGTGGGTATCAGGAACAAAGATACCACTGCCTTGGGGAGTAAACCTGAGGGAATCCAGAGCTATTGTCACTGCCAGTTAGGTGGGATCCTCCAGGCCAACTGCTGGAGCCCAAAGAAGCACCTCAAACCCAGTCATCCCATCAGAATGAAATGGAAGAGATTGGATGAGGAATCCAGAATGCTGTCTTTAGAAGGCTGACCCAGGGGCAGCAAGTTTGAGTGCCACTTATGCTATCTAGCAGCATTTCTTGGTATAACTACTGTAGCTTCTGACTGTCAGGAATATGCCCCTTATATTGCTCATATCTGAGCCCATGACTCTGGAAATTGTGCTCGGCTTTTGCATATCTGAAACTAAACCACTCTAAGAGCATCGCTAGTCAGTGTAGGAGGTGAAAAGAGTTCATGCAGCTCAAGGTTTTGATCATTTACAAATTAGAGCTAACAAACCTTTATAGAGAGAACTTTTTTAATATATATATTTTTTAGTTGTAAGTGGACACAGTACCTTTATTTTATTTAATTATACGTGGTGCTAAGGATGGAACCCAGGGCTTCACACATGCTAGGCAAGCACTCTACTGCTGAGTCACAACCCCAGCCCTACAGAGAGAACTTCTAAGCTTAAAGCTTAAGCAATATGAAATATAAGGGCAAGTTCAGAGCCCAGAATCTTTTTGTAACTGAGAATGTCAGTTAATCACATTCTTAGTTTTAGTTTCTTTGTTTAGGGAGAGTCAGCATTTAATAAAAGTCTTCTTCTAGGTTCTTCAGTTATTTAATTTAGGATTTGTTTTTTAATGACCCATCTTGATATAGGCAAAACTGAACATAAAGTTGCAACTTCAGCAACTTTCCATCCAATACGAGAGGTTCAGACATTGCAGTGAATAGTCAGTAACCCCATAGCAAAAGAGACAGAGAAGAAAGAGTACAACTTACATTTTAATTATACTTTAGTTTTCAGGTGCATAATCTCACCTGAGCTTCACAGTACCTCCTGAGAGATGGGTGCAACATTATTTAACAAATGTAGAAATTAATGTTCCAGGTAATCATTTGTCTAAGACAAACAACTTAGTTGTAGAACATTTCCAGAATCCAGGTCTTCTGGGCCTTTGGTCTTTCTACTCTTCCTCACAATGCCATGAATTTGGAGTTGGGGCAAGAAGAATTCTATTTGTATCCTGAAAAAATGTGCACATGATCACATGTTGAGGTGAAAAGAATACTTGAGAAGAATGGATGGCTTCTGTGGTTCCTCCAAGTAGGGCAGACTTTACAAAATGAAGTGCATCTGAGGAAGAGGTGACGGAGCTAGCTTAGATGTGCTCCAACAACAAAGAGTGCAGTTTGCTTTTCACTGGGGAGGACATGCCAAGACATTCTGGACTCTCTGACTTAGTGCTAAGTGTGTCAGGGAGCACTGTGGGAGTTTTCAGAGTACCACTCCTTATGTAGGACTATTAGAAAGTACCTGGGGTTGAAAGGGAGCTTTCTTCAAATAAGAGGGGCAAATATGGACCTACAAAGAAAAGAGAGTGCTTATTAGTCAGGAATATTTACCACACACTTGGTTTCTTTGAAGGAAAAAACTTATTCCAGTCAATAAGTAGATAGAAAATTAGTCCGTGTATTATCCTTTGCCTAACAAAATTTGCAGTTAAGGGTAGTAAAAACAGAGTGGCCCTCTGTGTTAGTCAGCTTTTCATCACTATGAAAAAATTACCTCCTGAGAATAACTTAGAGGAGGAAAAGTTAATTTGGGCTCATGGTTTCAGAGCTGTCTGAAACCATGGTTGGCTGTCTCCATTGCTCTGGACCTGAGGTGAGGCACAGGATCATGGTGGAAGGGTGTGGCAGAGGAAGGCTGCTCAACCAGGGACAAAATATAATTCTCAAGGGCATGCCCTCAGTGAACTACCTCTTTCAGCCACCCCCCACCCAGTAATCAATTTGAAGTATTAATCCATCAAATGGATTAATCCACTGATGAGATTACAGCTCTCATAATCTCATCATTTCACTTGTGAACATTCCTGCATTGCCTAAAATGAGCTTCTTGGGTGATACCTCATATCCAAACCATAGCTCCCTCCTCAGCCTCCCTCTGTTCCTCTGACAGATATCCGCCTGGAAACATGCTACCTGAGGTATGATGATGAGGAGTGCACTCTGCCTATTGCTGGACGCCACCGCATGGATGCCTGCTGCTGCTCTGTAGGTGGAGCCTGGGGCACGGAGGAGTGTGAGGAGTGTCCCATGAGAAACACCCCAGAGTATGAGGAGCTCTGCCCCAGAGGACCAGGATTTGCCACGAAAGATATTACAAATGGAAAACCTTTCTTCAAAGGTACAATGTTTTGAATGGTCAATTGGTTTTCTTTTTAGACCAACAGGTGCCTTTGCATGATCCCAGCGTTCTACTAACAGAAAAATTACCATGAACATTATCTGTGTGGCCATCTGTTGGTCATCTCAGCATAGATTTTTAGCTTTCTGAATTATATATGGCAAAAAGTTTACTCTATGCTAGACTGTCCCCACTTCCACTCCTCTAGACTTCCCTGGGTCTCTGGGTCTCTTGCTTCTCCTATTTAGTCATTAAGTGGTAAAATAAATTTTTATACTATCATAAGCCAGAAGTAAATCAAAGAAAAATCTGCCAGGAAAATTTACATGCCATCTACTAAAATCAAGTGATATGACCATCTGTCTCTTGTCTTGAAGCATCCATATCACTGCCACCCACCTTAGTGTATAATGGAGGGTAAGCGGTGTAAGAAACCAGTGCCAAGTCCTCTATCCAAATCCAGCAAATGTCATTTTTCAAACACACTTTGCTTCTCTAACAATGTTTTCTATAATGGAAAAGTTGAAAAGGCTAGAGATGTTTACAAAGTCATGCCTTATGGGTCATCACACATTCTTTGAAATGAGTATTGCTACCATCTTAACTTACTGGGTAAGTTAACTCACTGAGACCACCCAACTAGTTGCTTACAAACTTTTCTCCCCCATGTTTTTCTTGAAGATATCAATGAGTGCAAGATGATACCCAGCCTCTGTACCCACGGCAAGTGCAGAAATACCATTGGCAGCTTTAAGTGCAGGTGTGACAGTGGCTTTGCTCTTGATTCTGAAGAAAGGAACTGCACAGGTCAGTATGAGCTTCCAGGAGCAAGAGAGGTTACATTCTTTAAAACCTATCCTCTTTCATATTGCCACAAGTGTTAAGGCCATCCTGATACTCATTTGCTGCCACTTGTTCTCTTTGTGCAGATATTGATGAATGCCGCATATCTCCCGACCTCTGTGGCCGAGGCCAGTGTGTGAACACCCCAGGGGACTTTGAATGCAAGTGTGATGAAGGCTATGAGAGTGGATTCATGATGATGAAGAACTGCATGGGTAGGTTTGTGGTCATGTGATCCACACAGGAAGAAAAGGAATTCAAGAAGCTTGGGTGCCTCATAGCCTCTGTCACAGGTTCTTCCAGCTGCCTACCACCCTGTGCTCCTGACCAGGGAGTCAGAAATCAGTCTGTGGTGGAGGGAGAGTGATCTGCAGAAGAAGTGAGGGAATTTGTGTTTTAGGGTTATGGGTAACTTTGAAAATCAGTTGTGAACCTTTGAGAAGTGAATTTAATGCCTGGAATAGACAGTAAATTGAGAACCATTGAAACTTAAGCTATAAAAGAAGTCCCATTAGAGGACTTCTGGATTTTACCCAGATTTCTAGAAAAAAAGAGATTGATTAATCTGACTGCCTTAGATCAGATTCCCTAAAAAAAAACAGAGTCTGAAATGGGGATTCTTATAAGAGTGTTTTGTTTTGTGGGAGTGTTCTGGGGAAGAGCCTGTCAGGAAGTGAGAAAGTGAGAGGAGCAAGGTTAGTGCAAGAGAAGAAGATAAGCCAAGCATTTGGCTGTCTTGCAACTTTAGTCTGATCCCACAGGAAGTTCTGGGGTATATATGGCCCCAGAGAGGTGTCCCATGTTGAGACAAGGTCAAGATTTTAATCTTCCATGTCAGTTCAATCAATTTTTCACCAGGGGTGGTCACTGGCTTGGGAGAGGGGTCCAGTCTCTCACATCCTAGGCATTTTTGAATGTGGTGGACTGGCCATTAGCAGCCAGGACTCCCAGCAACTGAGGGATGGTAAAGGGGATGGCCTGGAGAGGGAAAGGGTCCCATCAGTGTATTAAACACAGGTCATTTCCATTTTTCAGATATTGATGAGTGTCAGAGAGATCCTCTCCTCTGCCGAGGCGGTGCTTGCCTTAACACAGAAGGCAGTTACCGCTGCGAATGCCCACCTGGTCATCAGCTGTCCCCAAACATCTCTGCATGTATTGGTAAGGAGGAAGACCTTCAGACCGCTTGCTCTAGGTCAGTAATTTGACCCACATCTCTTCCAGAGTCAGCAGCTTATGTTTGCTCTTCTTTGTTCCTAAATAGACATCAATGAGTGTGAACTGAGCGGGAACCTCTGTCCCAATGGCCGCTGTGTGAACCTCATAGGGAAGTATCAGTGTGCCTGCAACCCTGGCTATCATTCAACGCCCGATAGGCTGTTTTGTGTTGGTAAGTCCTAAACTTCTTTTTATTTACTATTTTATTTTAATTGGTCTCTTTATAAAAGAAGCAATGTATTCTTTTCCTCACTCATTACTTTTACTTAATATTTCTTATTTTCCTATAATAACACTTTTTAAATAGTGGCTCTTGAGCTTTAGATGTCACCTTCCCTACCTGTTTTAAAGAACTACTTAAGGGTATCAGATGTTTTTGCTGTAACAAATATAAGTTGACCCAAGTAGTTTTGAAAAATGGGCATAGTAGGTGCCTTGTTCATGCATCTGCTTGCCAAGGCTGGTCAGCCAGTGGTTCCTGACCACCTGAGATACATTTCACATGATGAGTGCTATCAAAAAGAAAAGAAAAGCCTAGAGTGAGGTCTTCATTGTGGGTGGTATGAATCAGCTAAAAGATTCAAAGAATAACTATGAGAAAGAAGCCCATGGAACATTGATATCTTATATTGAAATAGAGACCATGCCTGGCACTCCTTAAAGATGGGTTTTTGTGGGACAAGCATTTTGTTTTGTGGTTGGACCTCTGTAGGTTTAGTCATGCTGTGAAGGGTGGCACAGAGGCCCTGTGGCTTAATTGTGCCTAAAGTCAAAGTAAAATTTCGTAGATGCTGCCAGTTTTTGCCTGGTTTGGGGTGTACACCGTGTGGAACTGCCAAGTTTCACATGGTTTCCACCCAAAACCATAAATCAGCACAAATTCTTCTGAAACATGGCCCAGGACAACTCAGAACTTCAACTCGGGTTCTTGAAAATGATTGGAAACTCAGTCAGTCAAACCAAATTGCAGGTTTATAACTGAATCTGTGACCGAAAGCATTGCCATGATCATAAACACAGAAGAAGGTGTACTGGTCCATTTTTGTGCTGCTACAACAAAATGCTTGAGACTGGATAATTTACAATGAATAGAAATTCATTGGCTCACAGTTTTGGAGACTGAGAAATCTAGTATCAATGTGCTGGCATTGGCCATGGCCTTCTTGCTGTGCCATAACATGGCAGAAGGCAAGAGGGTGAGAGAAAGCAAGAGGGGGTCAATGCACCCTTTTTAAATGGCACCAGTGCCACCTGTGAGGGCAGAGCCCTCATGGCCCAAATCTCTCTTAAAGGGCCCAGCCTGTTAATACTGTCGTAATGGTATTTACATATCTTTGAACGAATAAATTGAATTTTGAATGGAATAAACATTTAAATCTTTTCTCTTAGACATTGATGAATGCAGCATAATGAATGGTGGATGTGAAACCTTCTGCACAAACTCTGAAGGCAGCTATGAGTGTAGCTGTCAGCCAGGATTTGCACTAATGCCTGACCAGAGATCTTGCACTGGTGAGTGGGTTTTAGTTTCATATTGAAATCCCTCAATAAAAGCTCCCGAAGTATAGTGGTTCAGGATTTGGGCTTTTTGGATTCAGACATTTTGAGGTTCAAATCCTCTTTTGTCACACATTTTAGCTGTGCATTTTTGATGAGGATACTTAGCACCAGATTTTTTCATCTATAATGAGTTTAGACTGCCTGTGTGAAAGAGTATGTACAAAACTTAATATAGCACCTGATATATAATAAGTGAAACATAAAATGCATTTTCTTCATTAATCAAAATTTGAAAGAGTTCAATCTTTTGAGCAAATTCCATGCCTCCCTGGGTGTGTTCCCTGGACCTACAGCATCAGCATCACTTGAGGACTTGTTAGAAATGTAAAATCTCAAGACCCATCCAAGATCTACTGAATCAGATATTACTGGGTTGTCTCAGTAATCTGTGTCCTCATAAGCTCTCCGAATCATTTGGATGCATTCTAAAGTTTGAGAGCCTCTGTCCTACTTTCTATTGTATCACACAGGGCTGGAAGAGCCATATAACCAACTAGAAATGAGAGGAAATCGGTGATACAGATTTTGATTTTAGCTTGGGCCAAAAAGAAAATTTGGGCTGAGGAACCACAATTATTTTATGGGATCTAGAAAACTCTCCCTAAAAAAAAAAACCCTCTTGATATTAACTATAAAAAGCAAATGTTGAAAATTAGTATTTTTACCAAAATTTCATTAAAGTAGATTCTTGTTTCAAGCAATTTTCACCTTTTATCATATCTTAAAGTGTAAGTAAAACAGAAGATAATAGATCTTTGGCATTTGTGAGTTGTCAATGAGAAAATAAGATTCATAATCATTTTTGAATGATAAATTCATATGAGTTAAAGTTTATAATTTAAATGATGGACTTTGAGTGGGTGTGGATCTCATCCTTAAATAGTATAGTGAATCTTGAAAGTTTTTCTCCTTTCACCCAGGATAACCTGAAAGGACAATTTATATAAAGTTTCATTTGGATTTGAGAGTTAATTGTCTTATGCTAGTAGGCTGAATTTATTTGGGTTGGGTCAAATTCTCACTGAATAATGGACCCAATATCAACAACATTGTTGGTTTTATTCCTTGTAGACATCGATGAATGTGAAGATAACCCCAATATCTGTGATGGTGGTCAGTGTACAAACATTCCTGGAGAATACAGGTGCTTGTGCTATGATGGATTTATGGCTTCTGAAGATATGAAGACTTGTGTAGGTAAGCAAAGAATTTTCCATTTGTCTGGTTACTCACAAGCATTGTTAAATTACGTAAATATTAGTTTGTTTAGTTGAAACATAGATCCCTTGAAGAAAGCAAGAATATTTAAGGAGATGGTACTCATATTTTAAAGACAGCTTTCCAAAAAGGTACTTTCTTGTTTCTGTGATGATGCTTTTGTCAGATATGTTATGGGAATTGAGCCAATCACTGATCAACTCCATGTAGATTTATCTTACATATCTATCATTATTTCTGTCTACTTAATCCTCCTTTTGCTCTGACTAGAGTTCAGGCTTTTAAAATGCTTGTCTGAAGCCACACAAGATTTTATCTTCGACAAGAATGCAGAGAACTCTAGAATTGACCATATGTGTTTTGGATAGTTTCCATTGTCGTGCCTTCAATTGGTTAGCTTTTCTTCTGCAATATCGCATCTGCCTTTCATTCTATCATTGTATTTTTCATCTCAGACATTGTAGTTTTCATCACTAAAATTTTACTTTGGATCTTTTTTCCATATCTTCCTTGTCTCTTCTTACTATGTTTAATCATAGAACACATGGAATGTAGTTGTGACTGTTTTCGTGTTCTTGCCTACTAATTTCATCATTCTTGTTAATTCTGAATCATTTCAATAAACTGACTTTCCCATTTTGGTTCATGTTTTCCTCCTTCATTGAATGCCTGGTAATTTTGATTGTTAGCCAGATATTGTAAATTTTACCTTAGTAGGTGCTGGATGTTTTCATATTCCTAGAAATACTCTTGAGCTTTGTTCTGGAATGCAGTTGGGTTACTTGGAAACAGATTGATTCTTTCAAAGTCTTCCTTTTAAGCTTTTAAGCAGCAGCTAGTCTTGGGCTAATTTTGCTGCATTACTGAGGCAAGACCCTTCTGGATACTGTATCCAGTTCCCTGTGAATTATGAGGTTTTCCAGTTTGACTGTTGAAAACAGGCACAATTCCAGGCCTTCTGTGAACTTTCAGGATCGTTGTCTCCCTCATTCTTTTGGGTCATGCTTTCCCCAGCCTCAAGAGGTTTGTTTCCTTATGAGTGTGTGCGTGCCTGCTCTTCTGATCACTTGAGGAAGACCCTCTACAGATCCCTGGAGCTCTTCCTCTGTGCAGCTCTCTTCTGTCCTTTTCTTTGCCTGTGAACTCCAGTTATTATCTTGACTTTCAAGGACTTCTAGGTTCATCTCCTCATCTCCGTAACATCACCTTGTTCCATCCAGCATGCCCCTCTTTATGCCACTATCTTAAAACTTCCTCCATACAGTAACCTGGGGGCAATCTAGAACTCACCCAGTTTATTTTATTTCTCTCAGAGATCACTATATTTTGTTGCTCAGTGTCTACTGTCTAGAGAATCATGTTGCATGTCCAACTTTTTCTTGTTTTGGGTGGGAAGGTCATTCCATCTTGCCCAGAAGCAAGAGTCTAGAACTGCTTGTATCTAAATTCTTACCATGTTTATCTCTTCTGAAAACCTTTACTGAAAATTTATGAAGTCCTAGGAATAGAAATGAACACTTAAAAAATAAATAATTTTTTAACTTGGGAAAGAAATGAGATTTATAATTACTTACACTTAGCAAATTTATCTTTTCTTTAAACTATGGAAACTAAATTATCTGCATTGGCAGACTGAATTAAAATTTTTATTTTGCAATAGAGTATGCTGTTTTAAAAAGTTTTCTAGACTGTCACATGAACAGGCTCTACACTCACCCTTGAGTTGATCCTTATTTGATCACTTGAGCCCCTCCTTTTGGACCACATAAAAGCCAATTTATGTAATTAGCCTACAATCTCGAAAGCCAATGTGAAGTGGGATCCTTAAGTTTGTTTTTTGTTGTTGTTGTTGTTGTTTTTTGCTGAGTGAAAACATTTAAATGTAGTACTTAATAATATTTTTGCTGAGTGAAAGTATTTCACCTTTTCTAATTTATTTGACATATTTATTTTATCTCAGAAAGTATTAATTTGTATAAAACAGTTGTGTATATTAATAACATCTATGTTTTTCAGATGTCAATGAGTGTGACCTGAATCCGAATATCTGCCTAAGTGGGACCTGTGAAAACACTAAAGGCTCATTCATCTGTCACTGTGATATGGGCTATTCAGGCAAAAAAGGGAAAACCGGCTGTACAGGTGTGGGTTTTTTCAATAAAATAAAAAGTGGATAGAGGCTGCTATCATAATTATAGATTAATACAAGTTTCAAAACTACTAACATTTTGACTGCAATGTAAAGTGTTTTGTATACCACTTTCCATTAAATTTAGCTTTTACATCTTTGAAATTTGCCAATTTATATTAGCTCCAAGTTGGAGTTTTTTTCTTTACCTGTAGAAAAAAAAAAGATGTATAGAATAACACTACAAATGATACAATTTTTAAAAGGTTAAAATTAATTTTCATAACCAAATAGTGAACATGGTAATTATCAAATATTCATATCCCTTTATCAAAGTATTCCTTTCTCAATAATCTCCTTTGCCAATATTTCACTTAAGGTTGTATAGCTAAAATTGTCTTTTAAAGAAATACATCTGACAGTTCCAACATTTCATTAATTCTCTCCAATCTTCCAATTCCTTAAATTAGATCACTTTAATGTATCAATTTACCCAAATAAGTGTTTATTCATTGGACTTAACAAATCTTGTGAAGTGCTAATTGAATCATTTGCAATTTTGCTTGTCTAATACCAATGGCACCCGAGAAAAATCTTTCACAATATTTGTAGGAGACCATCCTGTTAAATGCCAAATGGAAGCAGTCACTCTATGGCAATGACATTGTTTTTTAAGTGTTCGGTTGCTATTTCCAAACATGAGGCAATGATATTAAGTGTATGGAATAGCATAATAAATTTCTCCCATAGTAATATATTAACATAACAGATTATGGCATATAACATAATTTAAAACATAGTGGAGATGATGGTAAGCTTGAATTAGGTAACCGTATAATTTTTTGTTTTCAAATAACATGCTTTAATTCCAAAAGCCAGTTTGGCAAGCCCTTGTGACTTAAAACAAACATTAAAATATTTGCAGATTGGCAGTGGTAAATGTACAGATCTTCCTCTTCACAGTATCAACATATTTCAAGAAAGCACTAAAATATATCTCTCATCCTCACAAACTGGCTGATGGTGCTGTGTCAAATTTACTAACACATGGAATAATGGCAGTAATATTGCTGTTGGTTCAAAACTGACAGACTCTATCCAAACCATGAAAAGAAGCATAAAGCTGAAATGTTTTCATGCTATGTTGCTCTTCATAGGAAGCCTGGCTAGGGGGTCCATTCTGATAAATGGCATAGTGTTTAAAATTTGAACTCCCCCACGTGGCCTCACAGGTCCAAGTGATGTTACTCTGTATGTCTGTGGTTCGAGCTTTATTTTTAGCTTTGAGTGTAAATACAGGACTTGGTAAGCAGTGGTGGTCTGCCAGTAATGAAGGAAAAGGTAGGATAGCTCTATGCTGTGTTTTACCTATTAAAGGGTAACACCATTGTCTGGCTCAGCTGAGCTCACTGAAGTTCAGGGCAAGGTCAGTGATACAAATGAAGGGAGAAGTTCATCTCATGAGACAGTCCCCGTTGCTTAAAAGAAAGGCTCTCTAGAATTTTGTTCTCCAAACTTCAGCCAATTGGGACATAGGTAGTGACTGATTATTCTAGATCTCTTACCCATGAAGAAAACTAAAATTTTCATGCCATGTTAATATCATTTTAGGTAAATGAGATATAATGTATATAACACCCTTGGCATACTGCTGACCAATAAATAAGAATTATTGCTGTCATATTAAATGAGGCATACAGACGCCAGGTCTGGAGGCCATTTTAATGAAAGACATAACTTCTAGTCCAGCAAAAATTCTACATTACTGTCTGTCTATTGGCACATGCTTAAAATCAGTTTTTTAAAAAAGGAAAAATTTTACTCTGTATATTGAAGGCTTGTTTTTCATAATTGAATTTACAGAGATATTGAGGCTGTGGTGACAAGAGCTGTGTACTGCATGTTAGATGAGATGACATCAGTTTTATATTAATAACTGCAGCCCTTTAGTAAATGCCACAGAAACTAGATATGAATTTGAAGAAATACTTTAGCTTTACAAAAGGCCGATGCCTTCCTCCCATTTTTTTAACTTTCAACCTGGATGATTTTTCAGTTTGATAAAATTCATTTAGCATTGTCAGAAGAAGACTTGAGCTTCGTGACCCCTTTGACATCAGTAACATAATGTGATATTCTCATCTAAAGGGTAGAACCCTGAATTCTATTTCTTGCTCTTGAACTAGCTTGTGATCATGAACCAATCTGTAGGGTGTTTGGCAGTTATTCACGTGTTCCCCTCAGGTGACACTGGCCCATGGAAGGAGGGGCTGCATGAGAGAAGAAAAAAGAGATCCTCTGTGAATACTGTTATTAACAACCACGGGTATCACATTGGATTGGAAATGACTTATACCAACAGGAACTGGCAGAAAGTTTGGTACACTTAAAAACAAGTTTTTAAAAACATGGGCCAAAAAAAAATTTTTTTTTAATCCCTTGTAACTAGGGCTCTTTTAGCCTGTTTTTGGTTTTAAATTAGTGTCACTTGCAACTTACAATACCATCAGTTACCTTGGTGATGGTCATACTAAAGACAAGTGTTTATAATGTTCCAGGCAACTAATGTAAATAGAGATATGTAACTGGCCTGATTGCGTAAGCAAGCCACAGGACAACTAACAGCAAATACAGACTTCAAGAACTGTGCTGTGATCATAGACAAAGGGAATAGGTCTACTTATTTATTTGTTTATATAGACTTTTTTAATGAGCTCTCTGGAAAGGAATTAGGAAAACATGCATGCTATTTCATAAGGAGGAGCTTTGTTTCATGAGAACTGAAGAATGTCCTCTGGGCTCCATCACAGCTTTGTCCAAATGTTTCAGCTTCCTTGTCATTACTGATTGTTTCCATTTTAACAAATAAACATGGCTTTCCCCCCAATCTCTTCAGCAGTGTTAAGAATCCACCCACTGACTTACATTCCCAGCCCACACAGATGCTCAGGGTTTCTTTTACTCTCCTTAAGCTTTGTCCAAATTGTGGGCATTGATGAGGGGAATGTTTGATTTAACCAAGAGAGAATGTTCCTTTGCTGGAATCCTAGAGCACAGCCCTTCTATCCTTGGCTGAAGTGGACTGGGTTGCAATTTTCCTGTGACCCAATATAAGCCTCCTGCTGCTCATTTTACATAATTGTAATTGGAAGAAGAAGAAAAAAAAAAGGTTGCTGCTGGTTGCCATCCTGGGCAGGTCTTGGCTCCCACAAGCTCCTTTGTAAGAACCTACCTGCTATCATATGCTTAGTGAATAAAGCATGCACCCATTAGGTAGAATAAAATCAGAATTGTTTTCAGTTAAAATAGCTGGATTTCTGGATAAATGCATTTCTCCAATTGTCTGATTTTTTTCATGTGAGAAATGTTTCTGGTGGGTCTCAAGTCCATGGGAGAAAATCATGGACTTCATCCACCAGCAGTCAGTGAGAATTGGTGTTCATTTCCTTCTAGTTTCTTATCATTGCTAATTCTCCTCCTCTGGCTGTCAGCCTGTGAAAACTCCATGGGTGTTCGGTTAATAGATTTGGCCCAAATTTCAATCCAAACTAAGAAATCCAAGTAGCCTTTGCACTTGGCCTCTCCATTTGCTGTTACATCCTCTTCCTCAGCCCTAATGGAGACTGCAGTGTGCCAGCTCTGCTGAATCAGGATCCACGTGATGGAGGTCCAGGTGGCCGGAAGGCAGGCTCTGTGTGGGTGATATGGCCTCTCCCTGTATGTCAGTACCAGGCCATAGCAGCTCAGAGCATAAATCCTCCCTTGAGTGGCAGACTCACATGGGGCACACAGAGCCTGCACACAGGGCTTGCTCAGCCCATGCCCTTGCCCTTCAAGGGAGCGAGGCTCATAGAACCTTGTGGCAAAGGATTGCTGGGGTTAAGGAGGTTGCAGTGTCAGCCTAAAATTTGAATTTCTTTGCTTTTCTTGGCTTATGCATATTCTTAATCTTAAAAAGGAATTTTCTGTGTGGAGCAAACTTGTGGGGGAAGAGAACATTTGCACAGAAAGAGATGTTCTTGGCAAGCGTAAGCGGTTTCCTTCACATTATTGAAGTGTTTCAATACAGTGATTTTGTTTGTTTTCCTTATGGCTCAGTTTCCCCTTTTATTGCCTCTATAATGAAGTACATCTCTAGGCCCAAGTTGGGTATAGAAGCAATTAATAATAGTTGGTGCATACATGCACATACACACACATGTAAAAACATTTTATTCAGAAATCCCTCTATTTTATGACCATATTATCTTTCTCGTTCACTTTTTACACACTGAGAATGTAAGGCATTAAGAAGGTGACTTACACAAATGGTCACAAAATGGAAAAGTGAATGTTGGCTGAGTTACCCTCTCCTAGCACCCCAAAGCCCATGACACACAGTCTCTTACAAATATATATATTTTTTACCTTGAAAACATTGCAGTAAAAATTAAAAATATTTTGTAAATTAGAATCTTAATTTCAAAATTAACATATTGTTAATAATAAAAATAATAATGGGAGATTATCCATTTAAATGAAATGAAAATTTTCTTAAATGCCAGATTAAATATGGAAGATGAAAGTCATATGAAAATAAAGGTATCTTTGGCCTTAGAAAATTGGAAAGGAAAAGATTACAGAATTACTACATTGATAGGTTCTGATCATCTGTGAAAATTGTGCTTAGAAGAGATTCATATTCCTGTAAGTCCGTCAATATTTACCAAATTTTGAGAACTCTCTAAAGCCCAGTTTAGAATAAAATCCTGAAGTTCCTAAAGAAATAAATTGGCTCAATGGGGCAGCTATGCCCCAAGGAAAGAATGCCAATCAGGAAGACAGGAAAACTGAATCCCAGCCTTTTCTGGCTCTGTCCCTCACTGTCTGTGGGACCCCACCCCTGTGTCCTCCTCTGACAAACTAAGGATGGGGAGAGTGGAATTCTGAGTTCTTTCCACTTAGAAAATTCCTTGATTCTCTAAAAGTCTAAAGCCTTTCAATACTTATGCAATTGAAGCTCATTGTTTACACCTAAGATGATTTGCCAGCAATCCTGACAAATAGGAAGTGAAATTAAGGCAGGACTGCCCAAAAGTGGTGGTTGTGTCTTTACTTCTGAGGGAAGTGATTATCTGAGGAAAAAGAATGCATGTTTACCAGTTCTGCATAGGAACTGCACATGTCGGGCATAGGAAGGCTCACCCTCTGAATCCCTGGGCCTGCTCACCACTCTTGTCCCTGGGTTGGCCTTCCTCCTCCTTGCCTTGGAATGTACAGTGCTCAGTTATTCAGTTGGTTAAAGCTCCCTGTCACAAGTCTAAAGCTGCAAGCCTCCCTCAACCTTCCTTAAGTACTCAGTAAGTGCATGTTAAAATTCAGCTATACCATACGTGTAATTCTAAGGACATTCTTCCTGGCACATTTCCATCTTGGAATTATTAGTGACATTACAAAAAAAAATTTCTGCAGGAGAAATCTGTCATTGTTTTATTTTATGTTTGCTCTAGAAGCTATGAAGAAGCCAAAAATCCCAGGACCATTTCAGGACTTCAGATGGAACATTTGGCAAACAGCATTTTCCCAAACACGTTCAAATCATTTAATTGGGCTTCTTAAGTAAACAAAAGGGTAAACATAAGTTGCTTGCCCGGTTTCTTTCTCATGCCACTATTCAAGTGATCCCTGGAAATTCTTGCAACATTTTATATGTCAAAATTATCCTACTTGACCTAAGTTTTGTGTGAAGTATTGGTTTTCATCAAGAGTCATAGATCCTATCTGTGAGTTCTTGTTCTAATAAATGACAAAGTTGATTATGAGGGTAACCCATTAATGTAATGGGTTAATTCGGGGAAATACACATATTTCACTTCATACCTTATAATTCTGTAACACTTTTATGTGATATAGTCTCTGTTGGCTAAATGTGGAAATGGAATTTTGAAGAATGGAAAATTCTAGAGAATTTGGCATCTTGTAGTAATGTGACCCTGATCTGCTACTCCTCCTTCTGACACAATTCCCACTGGGTTGACTTGAGTTTTACATGAAATATGCAAGAAGACTTGGCTCTCCAATGTGGAAGGACTCTCAGAAACTAGAGTAAAATGGTTCACATCTTCCTTAAGGAAAATTTTCTGCATATGTTTGAATGAGCAGTACCTAACAGGGTGAGATGTTCTGGGTGAGAACAGTGTACAGGAATAAAGCATAA